CGCATCTGCCCATCTCATCAGCGACTGTTGTCCCCCAAGGTTGCGCTTCAAAGCAGCCATCCTGGATTTGAGCCATCCAGATTATGTGATAAGTGTCTGTCGGAAAGTCTGACATCTTCCACGCAGGGAGGCTGTAACCACGGATACAGCCTCACTTGGCCCAGTTATTATGTCTCAGCAGATGATATGACCGGCTGTATTCTATGCAGCTGCCGTTGTGTCTCAGATGTGGCGGCTCATACAAGTTGAACATGAAAAAACCAATTATTGGGAGCTTCCATGAAAGGCCAGCTGGGCAGACCGTCGGTCCCATCCCCACATCTGCGAGAGCACTGTGAGAAACTCCCAGGTCAGCCCCTCATTTTGATGGGCATCTTGCCTGGTGTGGGGCCCGGAACAGGACTTGTAGAGAGCTTTGAAAAAAAAAATGATTTTTTTGTAATCCTCATGTGCGAGGAGGGTGACTTAGCGCATAAGTCCCTCCTTCGGAGGGTCCCTGCGGGACGGCGTCCCCCCTCCGAATAAAGAGGGACTTGGTTAAGTTAGGGAGGGTCCCTGCGGGACGGCGTCCCCCCTCCGAATAAAGAGGGACTTGGTTAAGTTAGCGACTTCAGCTCCTCAGACTCCAGAGTAACATCGCCTTGTGCAATCGATGGCTCCCAGTACGAGCGGACTCCAACACAGTAAAAATCGACCAAGAGCCACTCCACTTTTCGGTCACGCCAGGGACGGAATGTGTGGACACAACTGGCCACGTAGTCGGAAAAGCATGTTGCCCTGCTAATGCGATAGCGGTAAGTAAACCTCCCAAGAGGATTCGCTGACTGATTGCACAAGTCTTTGAGGTTGACTTCCACGTCTCTGATGTTTTCAGGTAAAATCATACATCAGCGGGCTCCATTATGCAGAACTCGGATGCGGCGCTTACAAGTGACGGCGTGAAAAGCTCATCCATCAATCTTCCACATACAATCCTTTGCCATCCACATACATTGTCGATTTAGACAGAGCGTCGGTTTGATCAATGGTCACATCGAATCTCACTATTTACTTTGGAACGAGTGACATCAATCCTCCACTTGAAAATACAAATTTGATATAGTTTTTCTCTCGGTATTTTTTCCCTAGTTGCCCATATGTATGTGGACAAAGACCAATTCAGTTCTCCCATTATACAAGCGTCATCAGTCCTTGGACGAGATCTTAAAAAGGATATATAAAAAGCTCTGAACCCTTTGATTAGCCAGAGAAAATTTTGGAATCGGTTTCGTAGTAGACCAGCAGTTATGACTCTAGTATTGTAGACAAGCTTAGCAGTAAGGGTGTCGTAGAACCCGACAGGCTGTATGCCAACAAGCTACTTCTAATAGCTATTATGAGTCATAAACTGTGAGGGATCAAAAACATGTTGAGAGGTGTCAGCAAAGACACTGTTGATAATCGCAAAAGGATCTATCTAGGCACTATATCCACGCCAAAGAGCTTTGGAACACGAGCATCTTTCTAGAAACAATGCCCTCATTGCGGCATCCACGCCAATCAATTACCAAACATACATTTCTGGACATCAATTTCTTCAACTGTGTATCAATCATGTGTTCAACTTTCTATGCCAGACAGTGAAAACATAGATCAGTTGTTCATGTCTAGTCAAGGAAACTTGTCAAGTAACGGCGTATCTCGTGTGCCAATAATCTTGAACCATCCTACTTAGACGATTGACACTTTAAGACATTCTCACAAAAAAAACCAAATGAAAATAGAGTTCACATGAAACAGAATGCACTGATCGTCGTTCACCAGATAAGACAATGAGGAATGCTTAAAATGATTGAATTGAATTTTGAGGATATCTGTTTTGCGACAGTTTTCAAAATATTCTTTTCCGCAAAGATACGAGTCATAGGGGAAGCGCAGGAAGGTTCTGGGACGATGATAACGAACCCAGACGCAAGACAAGCCCCATGGATACATACTTACCGAAACCGATCCAAGCGAAAAAAAAAAATCTCTTCAAAAACAGCCATCAAGCATATGAGCGCTTGGGCGATGAGCAGAGATTGAGAGGGGGGGGAGGGGGCAAAGAGGAGATAGTGAATTAAGCGCTTTTCATGGACGCTCTCCGCGGACAAATAGACGCCAACAAGTAACAGTTGAAGGCATCTGCATCATGACTTAGATATGTATCCAACAGTTGAACAGTCACACAGAAAGCTGCTCCAAACTATGTACCCTGGGCCCTATGTCCTCATGATCATCCTGTGGTCCTGCATCAACAAGTCTCTTCTCCAGCTTGCTTCTTGTGGCTTATCGTGGTCGTCTTTGTGTAGTGTCAAGTCTAGACTCTGTTGGCACATTCTTATTTTGACGCTCTGGGTCTTTAAAACCGCCTGCTTTCTGTGTTCTCTTTTCCTATGCTCATCAGGCCACAATTTACCCCTTTTTTCGAAACCACATCCTCACATCTCTTACAAGTCGAAAGACACTCTTCTCTAAATAATTAGAACCTGCAAAACAAGCAGAAGCATAGCTTACTCTATTGTCGAATGAATATCATTTTCGTAACTCTTTGAGCATTAGGAGCTAAGATTTTACACAGTCTACACACTACAACTCCTCAACCGAACAGTACATTTAACAAATTTTGAAAGATGCCTGGAGCAGGAGGAGGTGGAGGCGGCAAGAAGGATATGGACATCAACGAGCTATTTGACTCAGTTCTGGGCAGAAAATCCGCGTTATTTCCGGACCATGGGGGTCGCCAGTCGGGCGGAAATCCCAGAGGATCCTCGAAACACGGTCCGACTCCGAGAGACGAGCACATGAATCCCTTCGATAATGGGACGGCGCCATTATTCGGAGACATGAGGCGCGAAACAAACAGGTTCGGGGACACCCTGTTTGGCAACGGAGTAGGCGCTCCACAGGATACCTTCATGACGCTGGAGTTGAGCCTCAAGGATCTTTACCTGGGTGTTGTCAAAGGCTTCAAATTTACACGAAGACTTTGGGATGGCAAGGTGGAAAAAATCGTCCGCAAAGTGGATATCAAACCGGGTTGGAAAGATGGGTAAGGCTTCGCGCGTCGTTCAACCGTTGCTCTTGTTTTGAAAACTTGTGACTATTCCGTGTTACTCATGCTTCATTTTGATCCACAAACAAAGGACGAAGATCCGTTTTGAAGGGTTAGGCGATGAAGACGAGGATGGAAGGGCAGGAGCATTGGTATTTGTGGTAGCCCAAAAGCCGGATCCGAAGTTCAAACGAGAGGGGGATGATTTGATATACACCCACACGATCACACTGGCGGAAGCGCTAGCGGGTCCGGAACCGGAGCACGATCTGAACCGGGGACTGAAGCATCTGGACGGCCGAAACGTGGTCTTCAAGTTACCGCACATCGGCGCCACCGGCGGGAGACCCGTCTGGCCCGGCTTCGAAATCCGAATCCCTGGCCAAGGCATGCCTATCACCAGAAAATCCGCCGGACGACTCAGAGGAGATCTCAGGGTCCAGATTCACATCACCTTTCCCGCCTGGTTAAGTGCTGCTCAAATCCAAGCCGCCAGACAGCTCAAGGAATGTAGGTCCTTATGCTGCTCATTCACTTTACCATCATGCAACTACTGACATCAACATCAATCAACAAAGGAGAAAACATACATCAATCCAAGACAGATCAAGATTCCAGTCAATCGATTGCCAACAACAAAAAGATGTGACTTCAAACGTTGAAGATCATTTACTCAAAAGAAGCAAAACCATCAGACCTCACCTATCCTGCCAGTGCCTGTCGATACTCAATTTGATTTCATCATTTTGTCACCAAGCCTTCCCCCTCCCAGTTATCTCCAGATACTTGAAAGGAGGTCCTTGTATAACGTCCCACTTTCCAGTTTAATTTTCTATTTCTCATCACGGCCTCATTTTCTTCTTGTAGCATCAATGCGTGTTCATGCTGAGTGCAGCATCTGGCCTACTCACAAGGACCCAGATTGGACTTGTAACAATAATCAAGTGCTTGCAGATTATCTAATGTTTGGATGAGGATTGTTCAGTGGATGCGAGGAAGAGAGACTGAATTAGGTGGATTGAAATGCACATTAGTCAGGTATATGTACTGCTATCACACTGCTACAGAAAGGGAATAAGATCCGACAACTCCAAGTTGATAAATGTGAGTAAAAGCGAGAGGAAAAGTGAGAGATGGGAAAATAATCTATTATTCAGCTCCACAGGTGTGGACCTTAGCCTCGGAGGATCCAAGCTTGTTATTACTGGCGTTCAAGCCGTCAATCAGAGCACATGCCTGACACAGCAACTGACTAGCCAAGGAGCCGCATCTCAAACAAGATTCTGCAGAAAATATTGAAAACCAAGTTCTGTCAGCCGTGTGAACAATATTAACCCTAATACAGATGCAAAGAGCGAGAGATAAGAGGAGACTTGCGTTGGGTGGGACGTTTGACGTTGCTCTTGACAGCACTTGCCATCGATTCTCCGCTGTAGATTATGTCTAGGATCGCAGACGGACGCAGACGTTCTAAGTCTTTCACTAATGCTCTGGCGTGTCCTCGATATGCTTCGGGTGAATAAGTACACTCAGTCGAAAAGTAATCTAACTTCTTAAAATCTAATCAAAACCATAGTTTCATTTTGCATGATTTGGAAAGATTGATGATTAATATATATTTGATCGAGGCCATTAGGAAGAGAGAAAAAACCCCGGATTCGGAGGAGGAGTGGTGTGGTTACTTACAAGCATACATCACGATTTCTTTCTCATAGGCATATTTGAATGGTTTGCTCCGCTTGACAGGGATGCCGGAAGTGCCCTTGGCAGTGCCACCAGTAGTGATTTCAGTGCATCTTTCCAATCGAGCGATATCACCACGCAGAACTGTCCAACCCAAAACCAGACGGGTCATGAGCAGTGAGCTAGGGATTTTGTATTAGAGGGTAATTAGGGACTTGGACTAACCATTCATGAGAACAGTCTCAGCCACATCATCCGCATTGTGGCCAGTGACGATATGGTCGACTTTCAACAGGTCGGCACCTTTATCCAAAGCCTGCCGTCTGAACACACCACAGAAGGTACCTGCAAGACACTCGTAAGATACCCGGAGTGAAAAAATGGATCGACTTCATAAACCGATTCTTGTCAGGCCGAAAATTTGATTCAGGCGACAACCCCCACTTTGGGTCTTGATCTCATAAGAGAGAGAAAGAGAGAGAGAGATGACTTGTTACGCTAGGGAGCGTTAAAACTTACAGTTGCTCTTCCTGCCCACGTTTTCTACCACCTTGTCCATCGTCCAACCTTGATATAGTTCATTGTAGGACAGTACTTTCAATGGGAGTGAATATTGGCTCGAGTTCCTCTTAACCGTCTGCAAGGATATCGATATTTTTGAAGGGTGGTCACAGTCAGTAAGAATCGCAATTTTCGGGATTGAAAGGGGTGCCAAGTATTGAAGAGAAGCCGGGACCAACCTCCAAAGAGTCGTCTCGGTATCCTGTGATGCCTTCGTCGATTGATAGCAGGTAAAGATCCAAGCCGTAATTGTAACGTTCATTAAGAGTCGTCATGACATGAGCCAAGACGGTCGAATCTGAATTAATGATCCGATTTTTTTTCTTCTTTAGCTATGACAGATTCATGTCAAGTTTGAGACTAATAGTTGATGGGTACCTTTTCCACCACTGGCGGCGATAGCGACCTTCTCTCCTTTTTTGAACATCATCCTCCCATTCTCCGTGTTGGACAGTTCCTGATCCTGTTGCGTGCTTTCTAGTGATGTTCTCTTCTCCTCAGCTCGACGTTTCTCTTGATTTCCCAATCCGAGGATGGTGTGATGAATTTCAGTCTCGAAGATCAGATAGAAGCATTCTCGACAGATCGCCTGGCCGGTCTTGGGTCGTTTGAGGATCGCTCTCCGTGGTACTTTGGGTCTGTTTTCGGCTGATAGAGTCGAGCAGAGTACGCATGGCGCCATTTTAGATTCCGATGGTCCTTGCACTTCCGTGGGTTGTTGTCGGTTGTCCTTCGTCGGCATACACCTGCATACACCCGGCTCCGCTATGGAGTGCATGGGGAGCGTACGCAGCCAGTGCGCACACGCGCACCGCCGAGCCCTCTGCCCGTGCCGTGGACCCCCTATCGGTGCTCAGGGGGAAACAACCTCGGGTCATATGTAGTGGTAGCCAGTACCCAACTGGCCAATCTCCTCAAGATACAAATCCAAATTTCACCATTTATATGACCGTGGACCTTTTGGAGGGCTTTGAGTGTCGGGGCAAGACAACGTTCGAGGATTGATTGAGAGCGGCACGATCAGGAAAACCCAGTTTTATCACTCAACGAGCACATCAAATTATCTGGTCTAGGAGAAGCCATGCGGCAACATGAGGATGAAGACCCCAAGTTTGCACCGAGACCCGTAGTTTTGATCACGGGTCTGTACGCTTTTGTCTCACTCATTTTTTTTTCTCTTTCTCTAGGAAGCTGGAATGTGATCGCGCTGTTGAAACTTGAACTGATTCTGTTGATGTTACTTTGTTTGATGGAACAATAGGCGGGACAGGTGCGGTGGGACACGGGATTTGTTTGAGGTTGTTATACCAGCTATCTCAGCCCTTTCAACTCGACCTATCATCCGCATATCATCTCAAATCTGAGCAGGAGAGAAGGGAGGAGATCGAGCAACAGAGGGGCGAGTTGGATGAAGATTACCAGTCGATCTATGGCACCCCGAATGGATTAACATTACTAGTGGGATGTCGGAGTGAGAGCAAGTGTCGGACGACGCAGATCGAGCTTGAAAAAGGACTTCGGAAGCTGATCGAGGCCGAGGGAAAGGACGAGCAGGAGGACCTCATCTTCAGCTATATCGACCGTCAGTCCGGACAGGTCGAGACAATGACCTTCTACGAGTATCGATCGCGTTGGCTGGATCAGTTAACCATCGAGTGGGTACCCATGGACCTCTACCATGCCCAATCGGTCGTCGATGCCGTCAAACTCGTCAACCAGCGATACGGCTATCTCACCCATCTCTTATTAAACGCCGGCGGTGGACCGTTCGTAGGGATCGACTGGATCGGACTCGTCAAAGCGTTTCTCCGCAACTTCCTTAATGCGCTCACGTAGGTGATCAAGCATCCCCTTGTCTGGTTGGTAGAGAGACAAAAAAAACAGATCAACGGAAGACCGGGAACTGAATCTACATTCGCCGGGCTTATTGATCGAGGGGTGAACCAAAAAAATAATAATAGATATCCAGATTACTTGATCCAAGCAAGAGAAGCGAAGGAGACGGTCGACGGGATCCCAGAAACCTGGCAATTGAACGTGTTCAGTCATTACCTATTGGCCAGGGAATCTCTCCCATTATTGGCCAAAGGGTCTAAGCGAACATCGAGTCGGACCAGGATCATCTGGACGGGTTCGCTGGATGGACAGCCGGCCTTCTTCGATCGGAAAGACCTCGAATGTTTCCATTCCACCGCCCATGCTTATCAAAGTACCAAGTACCAGTCCGAGCTCGTCGGTCAAGCTTTCCAAGACGTCATCGCCAAACACGGCCTCGATTCCTCCGTTGTCAGTCTCGTCGCTCATCCCGGCGTGGTCGCGGGCAATATGTTTTTGTCGGTCATCCCTCTCCCCTCTAAAAATATCAAAAGATCAAAGTCTGACTCTTGAATTACCCTGGGCTTACCAACCGATCCAAAAACAGGCCGATCATAGGAAGACTGATGGACACGATGATGAGATGGGTGTTCTACTTTGCCCGTTTAGTGCTAGGATCACCGCACCATTTAATTGACGGCTATCTGGCAGCACTAGTATGGACCAAACTGTGTCTCACAACCGACCACATCACCAACGCACGATCGAATGAGAAAGCAGCAAACCAGGCGGAATCCGATGGAGCGGGAAGAGGGGGGAGTCTGAATTGTCGCCACTTCAGGTTCGGCGCCCAGTGCAACCGCTGGGGCCGGCCTTATGTCGTCCTGGAGGATTGTGTCCCAGCCCAGGATCGCGTCGACCAGCGCCTCACCGACCAACGCTTGGTTGTTGATCATTGTGACCGCAAGGCTGACGCTTTGATGCGTCTTTGGGCTTCCTAGTTAACAATTCCTTGAAAACTTGTGTTTCAGGAACTGGGCCAATCCAGTAAGAACACCTCTTTTCTGTCAAGACCTCCTCAATATCAATTTTGTGTATATAACGATGTCCCACAAGGACGGCACGGGCTCTCTTGTCAAGGACAATGATTGAGGGGTGGGTTCTGTCGAAGACTGAAAGATCCATAGATTTTTTGGGTTTCATTGTCGCACTTTCCTCATCGCAATATATCTTTCTATCATCAATCTGTACTATCCTACCCCATCTTGCAATCCAACAAACCTATACTTAATTCATTTCTGCTGTCGGTGGATCCTCTAAACCCATGACACTTATCGGACAACCCAGTCTTTCAGTAGTTTTTGTGTTGAAGTGGAAAAGAAGATTTGCAAAGTTTTGGATCAGGGAGATTGGCCTGGTTGTTTCCATGATGAATAACAAATTTTGCCCCAATGATGCCTAAACCTCCACATTCCATGCCAATTCAAACGTTCAAGCTCCAAAAATCTTCCTTCCAGGCTTCCATCTCTTGAAACTCTGATGAAGTTTACCCACAAGCTAGTACCATTAGGATGGACCATGCCTAGTATTTTGGCTGGGTAGTTTGTTAACAAGCCTGCACCAGCTTGCTGATACTAAAAAAGAGTAGTAGGATTCATGAAGTGATTTAGCCACACCAGAACCACACCCACAGATAAAAACAAGATGATCATTTAATGAGCTGGTATATCCCCATATTTCAACAGAAGATAAAGGCCACCAGCAGCCAACAAGCTAGGTTTTTTTTGCCCAAGCAGTTGATTGTAGAGTAAAATCTTGTCAAACCAGGAAGATATTGTCAACTCGCTATTTAGCCATACCCCTTGGTGGACATGTTTTGCAATAGTTGAAGGTCTCTTGGGTTAAAAAGTCAAGGTTTTAGACATTCTGCCCATTTTGGTTGACCTAAAAATAATTATGAGTTATGTTCACATTTAGCTGTCTTTGTGCCTGTTCCTTTTTCTCTCTGTCACACCGGTGTCTCTCCTTCCTCATCTGTCATTCCTTTTCCACTCATTTCCAGATGAATGCAGCTCTTCACCTTCTGTCCCACAACTCAGCCATAACTTGTATGTAGATAAATATTCATGATTTCTGAGTTAGAAAATCAGAATCACCAGTCTTCTGCAAACTGTTCCCTGGGGTCACTAAAAGATACAACCACCTGTGGCATGAGCACTTTTCCGCCACACATGCTAGGAGCTCATAGCCCCTTTTTGGGCTCTTTGACCACAGGTTTTTCTCTTGAGTCTTTTGCTTCAAGATTTGTTTGCCGGTCACTCTTCCCCAGTTCTCACCGCCTCATTGTGAAATCTCATCTGGTTGAAAGGGGTTATGGGCTATCAGGCTGTGGTATAGATGGCACTTTTGCACCTGAGTACCTGTGGCGGGCACAGGTACCTGCCTAAAATTCCACTCAATTTGAACACCTGCACCGACATGTGGCACCCACTGGTTCACCCTGACAGACCCACCAACAGTTAAAAACTAAATGTTGTATAAATGGTTACATGTGACAACTTGGGCTTTGCAATAATTGAGATTTCAACTGATTTCATTGTTAAATAAAACACTCAATCATCATATGACAAATGGGGAATTAGTTTGCAAGTTTTTTCCACCCTTACCTTTGGATTTGGCTGATGCTTGTGTGATGTTACAACTTACAAGTGCCAAATCAATTCTTATTGCATGTTTCAAGAAACATAATACCAACAGTAAAGAAAATGACTTGTATTTTTGGTATTTTCCAGGAGACTGTGTAGCAATGCTGCAACAAATAGGGTATTTGCAATGTATTGACATGTATCATTTCATGTATCATGGTTGTTGGTAAAATTCCTCATGATACAAACTGTGTATTGTATTTGTTGCAGCATTTTATGTAGCTGTATGTTAGAAACCCAGTATTTATGCTCAGAGACATGTCAGGACATGTCCCAATTCTCAACTGTTTGATCAGTTCTATCTCCGAAAATAAAACTTACCTAAAGATATGCATGAATACTTGTTTGATTGATTATAATAAAAATTTGTCTAGAAAGACAGGATATGTTGTGTGTCCCCTTCAATCTGGATTCCATCTTATTTTAGGAATTTCCTCTTATAAATTCAAGCACAATTTTTGATTATAAGAATATAAACTTGAGTACCCTTCCCTGCCATTTTCAATGTCTATTTCACTAAAGTATCTTCAACTAGCATTACTAGTCTCATGCTGTCTTCAAGCCACTCAAAGCTCTTTTATTCCCTCCCCACTTCATTCTGAAAATGCAATGGTCACTGACAGTAAGTTTTTCCATTGTTCTTTCTATCCATGTTACAACTTCAGAGAGATTGATATAACCTTTGATGCTCTTTTTACTTGAAACAAATCAATCCTTTTCAGATACTCGAATGAGAGATCTCAATGTTCCCATGACTGTTCATAGCCCACCTGAGTGTAGCTCCCCAGACAGGATGACAGATGTCTGGCATGGTCATGATAACACTAGGGGTGAGTGAAATCTTAGAATATGTTCTTCCACTTCAAAAATCAACATCCATTTTGAACTCTTACCCCTGGGACTCCAGTTGTTCCTGGTGAGTTGAACTGATGCAGCTGACTGTCCAAAATCCACAGAAGATCCCATGGAAGTTGGAGAATCAGAAATACAAAAGCTACACAATGGTCCATCACACACAAGAAGTCAGATTACCAGTCACAAAATGGAAGGTCAGGAAGCTGAAGATTCAAAAAAAGGTATTTCCTTTCTTCTTTTTATAAGGGGGCTGGTTATGCCACTCCCTTCAATTAGAGCATGACTGTCCCCCAAACCAGCCATAAATTGGTAGAATTGGTTTGCAGTGTCATCAGACGTTTGCACAGTTTGTGGCTGGAGTCTTCTGGTGCTCTGGGACATGTCCCTTCCATGACCAGTCACCCGGCGACACAGTGGATCATGTCATACACCGTGATTTGTCGAAAGGATACTCTGTGGATGGAGTAAGTCATACAACCTGCGTGACCCGGAGGAACTCCTTTTGGTATATAAAGTTGTAAGTCCTAGCAGGACTTGCAACTTGATCACCCGGGAGGAGCTCCGAATTGGGCTGTGTCTGTGGCCCGATCGACTGTGACTGGTGATGATCTCCGTCAATCAGGTCATATAAACTGCTCAGCCTGGATCCTTGCAGTCTATTTGGTTGTCTGAACAGATCAAGCAAGGGACTTCCTCCAGAAAATACTTCTCTGGGTCAGTCAGGTTGTAGGATTGGTTACTCAGCAGCTCTACCCGGAGTAATGACAATCCCCCACTTCACGTCCTGAATTCAAGCAACAACCCCCACAAGTAATAATTATTGTGGAACAGTATTGAATCTTGAACCCGTTCACAAAGTCGCAGAGCGATCTTTCTCACAGGCAGTTGGTCGGGGGGTTGTTACTTCATTCATGGGGGCTGCACAACCAGTGCCCCTTTTTTTGGTTGCAAAGATATGTATATTCAAGACTTTGAACTGATTTATTATATCTCTTGACAGGCAGATTTGAATCTAGATGGAACACTCTTCAGTCTTTGAGGATGAAAATGGATGAATTTGAAGAATCATTGAGACTATTAGAATTTCAAAATCAACCAGAAGCACTGGAATTAACCCAAAAATACAACAAAATTGAACAAATTCATGATCTCATTCCAGCTCATGTGAAAAGGGGAAAAAGAACTTACTCAAAAGTTCTTGGGAAGAGAAGGAAAAACAGAGAAGGTTCTCAACAGATTAGGGAGAAAGCAGAAAAACTCTCTGAATATTTTGATGGATTGCAAGTCTTACCTAAACAAAAACAAGAAGAGTTAACACAGGATGTAATGGGATGGCTCAATTCTTCCAAAACTGATCCTAGCTCCTCCAAAGTCAGGAAGAAATACAGAACTGAACATGGTCAAATGTCAGCAACATTCCATAAGCAGACAACGGGCAGCTCTGCAAATAAAAACTTCCCAGATATGTCTGCCCATGATGAAGTGGTGGCACAAACCAATCCTGGTCATTTGAAAGTCCCAAAGCCAGTAGAATATAAAGCTTGTGGGACACAATCTATCCAAGTAGTTGAAGGACTGGCTTCTGCAACTAATTCATGGCGGCAGGAGATCATTACAGAGCTTTATGACATGTTCCATGATGTTGGCAACTTTGAAATAACCAAAATTCTAAATTCATATGATGACTTAATGGAGGTGAAAATGGAACTGCAGTTTTTGATACTTGGAACCCTAAGTTGCATGTATGAATATGGAATGATCTCTCTGGAAGACTTCAGGAAATTCTTTGAACTGGACAGCACAATAAGAATATCAGCAATTGGATTCTTTGAAAATAGCTCCTGGAATGTTTCTGATGAAGCATACTACACCAGCAAATATGTCTTGCTTTATGAAGAGGACTCTTTTAATAAAAAGCAAATCTTTGAAGGTAAGAGGTTTTCATTGATCAGTTTGGTTCTGGGATTCACATTTATCCCAAATTCTTTTTAGTGAAGCTGATTCCCATTCCATTTTTTTGCCTTAATCATTATTTTTTTGTAAAAGCTATGGATTTCAAGACCCAGAGAAAACTTGAATACTATCTCATCAAGCTAAATTTTAATGATTATAAGGACAGTAGTGGTTCTGAATATGGAAGTGGTTCTGAATATAGCAGTGACTCTGAGTCTGATAGTGATTCTGAATACAATAGTGTTCTCAAACATAAACCTCAATATTTCACTCAATCAGGTATAGATTCTTCCATTGGGAAGTATTTCAATACTTTGATGGACTCAGTTTTTGAAGATGACCTATTTATTGATACACTTGAGAAATATTCTAACCATGATGGATCTTTATCACAAGGAGAAAGAGAAATCATTGAGAAAAAGCTTCAAGACTTATGCAAAACATTCATAGCCCTTGGTGATCAAAAATCCTTTCCAGGAATCCACAAGAAACTCAATTTTATATACCAGGTGTTGAATTTCATTCAAGAAAACTATGGGAAAGAAGTTTTTGAATACATCAATTTAGTCCCAGATTTCTGGTTGAAGTTTAACAGCAGGTCTTTCAGTGTCAAACTACTTGAACGTGCACGGAATTTTAGAGAATTACTTTACAAGGAAATTGATAAATCTGAGAATCCAATGGTTCTTCATGAATATAGATCTGAAACAATTGAAAATTTAAAATCAGAATATATTCAACTCAAGCATTCCTCATCTGCAACCAAAGACTTAGCACAGCTCCATTATGGTCAAAACATTTACAATTATTTTTTGCTTGGTGAAATCAAAAATGAAATTGATGAAAGGATAGGAAGTTTAATGATGGAGATGTTGGAATCAGATTACCACAAGTCAATCAATTAAATGAGCTTGTTTTCAGCTTGATTCTTCTTTAGTTGAAAGAAGACTTCAACAAAAAATATACTTGAGTTATGCTTTTGGTCTCAAATTTCTTCATATAGTTTTGATTCCAATAGATCTTTGAGTTTTTTTTTTTGACCATTGATAATTAAAAGTTATCCATTCATCATCATATAACCTATAGAATTCTTTTATGAATTTTTGTTGTCATTTTTGTCTTGTTTTCCAGCTTGTTTTATCTCTATGTTTTTTTTTACTTTACTGAATTCCATACCCGAAACCAAATGAATTGAAGAATGATTATTTATATCTATCTACCCATGAATTATGGTTGTGGGCTCAAGAAGGATGCTATTGAAGGACCAAAGATTTCATATATTTGTAACTGAGCCTGCCGATCGTCGGTCATCGATTCTGTAGGGAAGCAGCGCTGAAGTGAAGGTGTGCTAATAAATATGTGGTCCGAGCCCACCCGGCCGATCGTAGACCCTCAACTGGGGCTTCTCAGCCCATCCCTGGCCCCCCGGTGGTATTATACATATCCCATCCCACCAGCCGCTGTGAGTCCAAGCCCCAAGTTTTTGTCCCACTAGGAACAAACACACACACCGCTGCTAAAACTCTCCTACTTCCTTTCCCCCATCCACAACTTCCCTTCAGTCTTCAACAAAACCTTTGGGTCGATCATCTCGGACTTCCCCCATCCTATATCTCCATCCCACCAGTCCACCATCGATCATCTTGTTGGGTCGAATCTTCGAACCACTCTGATCTTCACGACAGACCCTTCTCAATAAATACAAAAAATACCACCCATCTGCATACAATCGGTAAGGCTCTCCCACTCTTTCCAGTCATCGCACACTTCTGGCTCCTTCCATCCGCTTGAATCCCCTTCCGGTTGTACAATTTTTTTTGACCCTGAGATTCGTATCCATCGTCTGGAAAATGTGGATCTACATACCACCTAGGAATTTGTCTTCTTCCATTGCACCACGCAGAACAATCGAGTGAATACTAAAACAGGAAAACAATCTCCAAGTCATGGGTCGTCCCAAAGGTCAGTTCTTTTTTTTTTTTTTTTCAAATAATCAAACTGAACTTAATTCAGATCTACAATTCAGGTGCTAATGGTGACTGCTTCTCTCCAATACTTATCATAAAACACACTCCAAAAGCAGGTGTGAAAGCCGCCGCGATAGAAGAAGTTGTTGAGGAGACCGCTGTCAAAGCTCCGACGAAAAAACGGGGACGACCCAAGAAATCTGACTCCGAGAACCGGCCAAACGGGCTCGATTCGAGCACCAAACCAGCCTCCAAAAACGACGACAACTTGCCGATAGAAGCCAAGATAGATCCCGTCCTATTTGGAGAACTCCCGCCCTCCAAACGCCAAAAACCCTCCGAGGTACCCGCCAAAGCTGTCAAACCCACTCGGCCCTCTAAAACCGTCAAACCAGTCAAGCCGGCTAAACACAGGAAAATCAAGCCTCAGCCGACTGCCACGATCGTCGCGCCACCCAAGCCACTGTTTTCGTCCAAAGCGCTCCGATCGAATTTCAATCCTTTACCCCAGACCCAGATAGATTATACATCACAGGAACAAGTCAAGACTAATGTGCGATGTGGGAACGCGTTGAATTCGATGAAGATCGACAAACAAGCATGGCTCCTCAAAGGCAAGCCCGAGTCGCACGTAGTCCTGATCTTTGGGGCCGGTGACATGGGCCAGATGGGCATGGGTCCCGAGAAGCTGGACGATGTGAGGAAGCCGGCGGTGCATTCGCTGATCGAGGAGCTACGCCAAAAGAACGAGTTCACCGAGCCCGTCCATCTTGCGGCTGGAGGCATGCACACCTTGGTCGTCGATAGTGCAGGCAAAATCTGGACCTGGGGGATCAACGACAATGCTGCACTCGGAAGACAGACCGAGGGCATCGAGGGCGTCGAGCAGGAAGAACTCGAGACCCGGCCCATGTCCGTCGCTACTCTATCTCCTCAACCCGATCCCGAATCAAACCGCACCCCTTTCAAGGCTGCGCGTGTCTGTGCTGGTGATTCGGTTAGTGTCGCAGTCAGTGAAGAAGGGGAATTAGTCGCGTGGGGTAGTTTTCGCGTGAGTGTTATCATTTTGTTTTTCTTTGCAAATTATCCAAGAATCTTCAAATGTTCATGCCACTCTTGTGCTTTTTTTTAAAACTGGACTACTCTTCCTCAGTCTAACGACGGTCTTCTTGGCTTTGACGGCATGGTGGGCACTTCACCTAAACAACTTGTGCCTACCCGAGTCTCGAATCTACGAGAATATCCAGTCTCGCAGGTGGTGTGTGGATACGACCACGTGCTTGCCCTGACCACCGACGGACACGTTTACAGTTGGGGAAACGGGCAACAGCAGCAACTAGGGCGGAAGATCATCGAGCGACGCAAGAAGAATGGTCTAGCCCCTGAACGCCTTTCATTGAAAAAGATCGTCTTACTTGGCACCGGCGGCAGCCACTCCTTTGCGGTCCATGAGAACGGCACTGTCTACGGTTGGGGCCTCAACACGCGTGGCCAGCTTGGGATCAGTAGTGAGGAGGCTGGCTGGGAAAACGAGATTGTCAGTGTTCCGACGCCCATCCGAGCCATGGCTCCGGATCAACACGACGGAGCGAGAGTGGTGGCGATCGAGGGCGGAGACTTTCACACCCTGTTCCTGCTCGACAACGGCCAGGTATGGGCAGTGGGAAACTACGAGAATGGAGAGATCGGCATCAAACACTCGGCGCCGGAGATCGTGGCTGCTGAGGAGGAGCGCAAGGCCGGGGCTGCCAAGAAGGATGTCTTCGTGGAAGAGGAGCTCAAGAAACGCAAGACCAAGTTCGAGAGCAATCTAGCCAAATACAATGAACGCCTGGCGACTCGAAAGGAGAAGAAAACAGAAGCGGAAGCGGAAGACGATGAGGATGAAGATCCGGCTCCGGAGTGGAACGAGATGAATGAACGACTAGAGGTTGAACAGGCGGCGGCCAACCAGGGCTTTGTTCCGGGACAATGTCTGCGAACGCCGACCCGGGTGGACTTCCCCCATCCGGTGATCGACATTTCCTGCGGCACCCGCCACAACCTTGCCGTCGACAACCAAGGGAACGCCTACAGCTGGGGTCTCGGCCAGAGCAATGAGCTCGGCCAGGGAAAGGACGAAGACGGCGAGGAAATCGAGTTGCTCGAGGCCCCCAAACTCCTCGCTAGTAAGGCGCTCACTAAGGGCTGCGAACGCGGGGCCCTGAGGGTCGTCAGATGCGCCGCCGGTGGCACTCATTCTTTGTTGATTGCTGCAACCATTCCTTCTCCTACTGAGACTAATTAGACTTCCCTCCTGAACCTCTTCCCTGTTTCTTTCTTTAAATTGCTTCTTTGGGCATCACTCTTTGTTATCTTTATATCTCTATTTTTTCATTGAATCTTTATCACTAAAGCTTACCCATCTTTCATTAGACTTCCTGGTATCCTTACTATCCACGTACTTTAGTGTTACATACAAATCACTCCACTCGCCATGTCCTTTCCTTTTTTTCCCCCCTGATATCAAGTAATCATTATCACCCCTTTTTTTGTAGACTCTCTTAGCCTTCTTTTTTTTTATCTGTTTGTTTGTTTCCTTTTTTTTTCCAGTCTAAAACCCCCTTTTCTTTGGTATGTTTCTTGGATGGCTTGAAGAAAAAGAAAACTTACAACACACTTTATGCAGAAGAAGAAGAAGAAAAGCAAAGCAAAGCAAAAAATCAACAAATCAAACATCAAAGATCTGACTGATCATGAATGGGATGCAATCCAACATAGAACCATTTCTTTTCTTGCATTTGGGATTTGACCCTTAACAATGTATGTACAATGTCCATTCATGGAAAGTGATTGCAACTACTAGTGTGGTTAATGTAAGCTCTTGAAGAGAACAAGACACTCAAAATGACTATAACCCCATCCAAAGAAACAGGCAAATGGTCCTCTAGAGTTCAAATGTGAACAGACCTACTAATGAGGACAGCATTGATGCAGCAAAGCTGATAATACAAGCCTTTTACCAGGCGATTCATTTCCATAGATTCCAGGCAAGAGAAAAATTTCTGAAGGAGGATGTGGGGAGGAAGTGAAGGGCCAGTCAGGTGGTCCTCATCATCATGGTTACCAGAACACACATCAGAGGGCTTGTGATTGATGTCAACGGTGGGCCGCTACGCTACACTACGCTATTTGGCCACTACATGTTAGCGTAGTTGCTTTTTTTTTTTGCTGGAAATCCTGTAGTGTTAGTTCACGCTACACACCGCTGAGCTAACTGCCAGCGTAGCGTGAAATTTTCCCCTCAAATTTTTTTTAGTGTTAGCTTGAAATAATTGCCACTAAACTAACAAGTAGTGTAACTTTTTCCAAGCTAACAAAACTTCCACTAACCAGCAGCGTAACTGAGTTGACGCTAACATTTAGCGTAACTTATACCAAATTAAGCTACACTACGCTACACTACATGCCTAGTTACGCTACACTACATTAGAAGTTACACTACACAGACTATCATACACCTCAACACACACACCCCTTGCTGCATGATGTCAAAGTGGAAATTGAACACAAGTAAGTGTGGGAATGGAACCCAGTAAATTAAAAAATGGCAGGGGGCTAAAATTGAGTGGCCCCCAGTACCAACTGAAAAAAAATGATGATCAATTGAGGGGATCTGGATGTAGGCCCCCCAATCAGGCACTGTCTTCAGGGTAGACTAGCGCTAGTCATGTGGTCATGTAACTACATAGTCAGTTACACTAACAGTTAGTGTAACTTTTAATCAGTTACACTAACAGTTAGTGTAACTTTTTCACCAGTTACGCTTACGGTTAGTGTAACTGAGGGTACCACTACACTAACTGTTCTTTTTGCACGCTAACAGTTAGTGTAACTGAGGGTACCACTACACTAACTGTTAGTGTAACTTTGCAAAAAGTTACACTAACATGTAGTGTAGTGGGTTCACCCACTAACACCGCTAAAATTTCAATAACAGGATTTTGGTTAGTGTTAGTTGTGCCTTTTTGAAGGTAGCTAACACTACGCTAAAGTTGTTTTTTTGTTTTTCAAAAATCCTGTAGTGTTAGTGGGCCAAAAATTCCCGCTAACGGTAACTTTTGTGTAGCGTAGCTTAAAAAGCTAACACTACGCTACACTAACACTACGGTTAGTGTAACTGGCCCACCGTTGTTGATGTTCAATATTAACAGAGCCTACTGAGCCTACTGAGCCAGAGGGAGACCACCTGGTCTATATAGGTATGATTCCACAGAAAAAAACCTCTGGTTTTTGTAACTGTCTGTACATATCATCTGTAGGGGCTGTTTGAGTGCTCTCAGCTCTGTGAAGGCTAATGAGCACCACCAAAACATCCTTGATCTCCTGTAAACCACCCAACCAAAGATCACAGAAACTCAGAACATACACCAAAGCTTAAGCAGCACACAATTATTACCATTATGGATTTTATTGCAACACTTCTCCCCCCCAAAAAAGATGATGATGTTGATGATGGTCCAAAGTTCAGCTTGGTTTTAAGATAGGGTTTGAAGAACAGTACCAATCCTTAATTAGAAGAAGGCCAATCATCAATTAAGAAAATGAGCAAGGGCTGGTCAAGTAACACAGGGTGCAATAAGACTTGAAAATTGATTGGTTGATGATCATGTTCAAGATCACATCTCACTAAATCATGAGTTTTGAAGAAAGAGCTATCAAAGTAAAATAACCATTGGATTAAGAAGTAGATAATAAGTTTCTGTTGATCAACTGATACAATTTCAAGTTAATACATATATGAATACACACACAAAACAAGGTCAATAAAAATGAAAAGGGTTATTGTCTATAAGAAGAAGAGATCTTGAAGGTAATTTTCTTTTCTTTTTTTTTAAAAAAAAACACAAACATATAGATAAACAGTAATCATCCTTTTATCATGATGACAATTCAATTTGTTATGATTCCAAGGAAGAAAGCGACTTGAACCAAAGTTATATGTATGAAGAAAGAGTTGGTAACACAAAACTGATGATTATAACGATAATAATAAAGAAAAGGTGAGAGTAGACAACATGTGCTTGAAGTGTCTTTTTTGAGTAGTTAATTTAATTCATGTACCTCAAATCAAATCTTTTGTAAATGATGCCGAAACCGAACCCGATCATAAGAAATTTTACTTGTAATAGAAGATGTTTTTACACACACATATGTTGTAGATATGTTTTTTTTTTTAAAAAAAAAAGAATAAGACAAGACTGGATGAAAGAAAGAGCGATGAGGTAGGTTCAAATCGACGCTCATCAAAAATGAGTTTTCCAGTGTCGCTTAGAGTTCGAACTAGTCGTAAAGCTCTTCGTACATCCCTCGAAGCCACACCGGAATGGCCGTTCTCCATTGTGCGTGACTGGACATCACAGGAGGAAACCCATTTTTTTTGGCAATTAAAAATCCAGATAATTATTTTCTTCTGTTCATCAATAATTTACTTACTTTTATGTTGTGTCAAACTGGTCAATCTCGGAAATGATTTCCCGCATTCTGGACAGATACTGCAAACAGCGAAAATTGAGATGCAGACATTAACAGTTTTGAAAGAGGCAGGAGGTTTATCAAATGAGAAAAAAGGGAGGGAGCTCAACTGGGGTTTCAAACTCGAGCTAGTGGTCCGATTTTTAGCGCGTTTAGGCTTGGAGGCTTCATAGGTCTGATTGGCGGAGGCTTGGCCATCAGGTTGGATCAGCTGCTCGACGGCTACCGAAGGATTGTGGGTCGCTGGGCTGAGATCGGATGTGGCCATGGAAGACGCATGTTCCTCCGCTTGCGAATGCGATGAGCGTAGCCGCTTCATAGGCAAGATCGGGATGTATGGCGTGTTTTGCCCAGGGGAGGGCGAGACAAATTTGGTGGGCTCAAGATCGATTGAAGGGGCGAGTCCGTCACCATACTCTTCGTCCTCAGCGCTTGGTCGGTTGGACTGCTTGAGATACTGATCGGAAAGCGACGGGCCCTGTTCCTGTAGGAACATTGGCTGTACGATCCGATGAGAATCATTCTCGGAGAATCCAACACAGTCTATATAATGGATATATATATATATAATCAGTCTCCTTCTTTTTGTCAACAAGGATGGTTTTCGCAGGAGACATACCAGAGGGCCGGAGCCAGGACTGATTGCAAGATTCATGCGGGTTTCCGGAGGATGAAGGGTGAGTTGGGTCGAAGGAGAGATTCCAGTCCTGGAGGTGAGTATCGAATGAGAAGTCGGGAAGGTTGTTGAGCTGGTTGAGGGGCTGGTCGTGAGTTTGGTCGAATGAGCTTGGGTTTGGGATGAGGTCGATTGGGAAGAGTGGGCTAGATTGAGGGTGTTGGGGCAGAGATGCTAGGAAGAGCTGGTCGAGTGATGACCAGGAGGGAGAAGAGGATAGACAGATGGGCTGGTGGTTGGGAGGGCCAGCTGATGTGCCAGAGGAAGAAGAGTGGTTGGAATTAGAGGAGGTAGTAGATGAGAGAGAGAGTGAGGATGAGTTGGCTGGAGGGAGTGGGTTGAGTAGTTGGAATGAGGGGGGGCTATTCTCATCCTGATTGTTATTATTGATAGTTAAGTTATTATTAATGTGTTCACTGTTGAACTGATGAGAGTAGTCAAGTTCGAAGGAGTGGGGGATGTCCTGAGTGAATAGGTGGTGATAAGTGTCGAGATCGAAGTCAACAAGCAGGGTCTGTTGGTGTTCGAGATAGGGGGGTGGTGGATGAGGAAGTGGTTGTTGTTCTTGAGTCTGGGCCTGATGACTCTGTTGTTGATGATGATGGTGATGGTGATCTGAGTGGGGGGCATCGAATTCAGTCATCGGGCCTGACCAACAAGTGTCGTTGTTGATCATACTATGATAGAAAGAGAGAGACAGATAGATAGATGGATATTATGTTGTAGATTGAGTTGATGGTCAACAGCTATCACTTCAAGATCCCCGAATAAGAGCACGTTTCTTCCTGGCAAGTCCTGTCTGCAGAGTACCACGACGAGCAATCAATCAATCGAATGTCTTTCAAGTCTTTCCAATCTGAAATCCAAAACAAAACAAAACAAGACCGAGCTCAGTCTAAACCACCAAAGTACAACTGAAGAAGGAAAGTAGAGAGACCTACGATGAAGATGCTGATGATTATTGGTTGATCGGGAGAGTCGATCAGAGAGAGAGAGAGCACGAGTTAGATGACTGCTGCTTATTAATGCTCACCATGACCACCACCACCACTCACCAACCAACCAACCGAAAACGATTTTAAAAAGATTAAAACAATGCACACTAATTGGCTCAACCTCCACTTCACCCGAACAGCTGCTGGGTCTCATTAATTATGTATTATCTGTAACCTTAGTCCCGCCAAGCAGGGTTTTTTTTTATAATGGGTTTTTCACGTTCGGAACTCAAAAAAAAAAAAGAAAGAAAAAGAAAGAAAGAAGACGGTTTTCATGAAGACAAACTAAAGAGACCCTGTCCATCTCGGATGGCACAAGACACTGGCCGACCGGAGGAGGAGGACTGTGATGATCTTTACAATCTGCCGGTTTTCCTCGGCAAGCTACATTGTAGACGAGCACTGCCCCCGTCGACTCTGTGCTCTGTCTCTCCCTCTCTGTGTGTACAATAGAACACCCCAATTCGGAAAACCCATTCGGCTTGACCCCCAAAAAAATATTAGAAGCTTGACTAACAATGTAGGCCTCGTTTGGCCGTCCACGATCGTTATAGGCCGTCGTCTCAAATCGTTAAATCAGAATCTAGGTTTGATGATTCCAGGCTGTGCAAATGACGCAGCCTGAAAATCCTTCTCAAACTTGCTGTGAGGCCTTATGACGGAAAATTTTGGGGGGACCCAAAATGTTGGAATTGGCAGGGAATATATCTCGCTGACCACTTCCGTCATAAAGAAAGTGGATATGACGTGGCCTCCCAAACACCATCGTGAGGCCCCGTCTTCAGCTGTGCGCCCCCGAAATATTCGCCATGATCGTTTATGACGATCATGGACGGCCAAACGAGGCCGTAGAGAACCAGCCGTTTACAATAAATGCTGTGTGCTAATCTTAACAACATGGATTCGCGCAATTCTTCAAGGTCGTCGTATTTGCCGGGGGCTGTATCCTACTAGAGAACGGTTGGATGGATTACATTGAATTGCCAATTTACCATGATGATGAAACCGGTGACAAAGCCAATCAATCTTCTGGAATCCGGGGCTCCACGTTCTCGAAGCTTATTGATCCACATATGTATTGATTCAATGACGTCATCGACGCATCCTCATTTCGACAATCTTGCCAGCACCACCGCGGCTGTTGGAATCAAAAACGCGCAAATCCAGACTCTACATACAGTCGATCTCTGGCTGGGCGTCTCGCTTGCCGGTCTTCGAACCTAAATATACACCATCCCGTCTAGTTATCTCCCGTCATTACGAGGAAGATTATTATCTGCAACGGCTCTCCCATCCCCCCCAAAAAAAGAAATACCATAATATACCCGCTGTGCTGATAGTAATGCCTTGCCGGGTCTGTACATTATATGCATGTCATAAACATTTTGCCAGTCTCACTGAGAGTCTCCCATTGAGCTCAAGCAAGCTGACTCGGTCGGTCGGTCGCAGCCCGTGGATAATCCTTTGCTGAGAGAGAGAGAGAGGTCATCGAATGGTTGCCACTCTTTGAGATCCCATCCTTTGAGATCTCGATCGGGGCTATCCGGGGATCCTCGAACTAAACACATAGCCCTCACGTTTATGTACAACATGGATTAAAGAAAACACTCGGAGCGCCAGAGGCACTGATCAAAGACTTGGGTGGTGGAATGCCCCTTACCCCTCAGCCTTGTTGGCCAACATGAATCGATGGATTCCTTCAGCTTCTGATACCTTATGGCTTCCTCGAAGGCAACTGATATCCTTGATTGACCAAGATCCTGAAGCAATCGTCGCTCATTTAATCTGCACTAACTGGAATTGCAGAGCCTTCAATTGGTTGATTTAGATTCGACAAGCAAAATCGAATCTGGTGGGTTCCGACCATAGAGATATCATTAAAAAGAGTAAGAAAAAGGAAAAAAATAAATAAATAAATTAGGATGTTATGTATCAAGTGCAATAGCATATTCTTCAAGCTGACTAGTCGGTTTATCTAAGAAATGTATTAATTTACATGATCAAGAGGATTCTGCAATTCTGGTGAGCATGGCTTTGGCCGCCTTCAAGCTCTTCACAAACGGTTGGAATTGACAATACTGATGAAATTCGATGAGTGTCCACATGACACCTAATTGGCGCGAATAATTCTGATCGATCAGTCTGACATAATTTGCCAAAAGATCGAGTTCTCCTAGACGACCGAAAGAGTTGAAGTCGAGGGTTGATGCAGGCTGCTCGAAGATCGAATCTAGCCACCGAGCTGGCCGGAATTTCTTGGAGAGATACAGTTGAAGGTTTTGGATGTCTCTCAGAACCTGGGTGCTTTCGGACATCAAGTAGAGCTTCGTTTTCAGCGTCGGACTGGTTTGATGAGCTGTGGCAAATGAATTCGGTTGGGTGTTGGAGAAATATTCCATCGCTTGATATAGATGAGATAACTCCGAAGGCCGTCGTGGCTCTTGCCGAGGAGGTCCGAATGCATTCGCCAATTCTATTAGGCTTGCAGTCTCAACACTCACAACAGTTGTTCTTGAATCTCCACTGGGATCGATCAGAACGTTTTCTGGTCTAGTGGGATTCTTGCTGAATACGAGATCCTTTATTTCTTCCATCTTCCGTTCTAAGCTTGCATTCTTTTTGTCTGCGGGATAAGCTTGGTAGGCCTCAAAAACGGCTTTGTTGAGGTCATATTTAAAGATGTTCTTGTGTATTTCCGGGAGACCTATGATTAATAATAAGATGGAATGAAATTCTTGCAGGTTAGAAAAACCTTCAACTTTTTCTTTTTCTTTTTTCAATCATCAAAGATCTCCAATTTATAGCTTATAATAACATACCTTCAAACATATTCCCACAAGAGAAGTACAACCAATGGTTGAGGATGTTTTCTGCATCCAGAGGAGCCCAATGATCGCCGGTGTTTTTCTGATCATAAAGAAAGGATTGTAGGATGTGTTTGACGAATGAATTTGAAGCGACTTGATTTGTGAGTAGATCGCCGAGTTTTGGTCGCGTTATCAGCTGATGCTTGTAGAAGAAGTATATCGTTTCACATGTGAGTCTTTCAAGATTCAAGAAATGCGACTCGAATACTGGAATATAGTTGGCTTGGGTACTGGATAACAGTTTGGTGAGTTGCTCAATATATTGGATCCCCAGTGCTTCGATCTCTCCTGGATTCGGATCTGCGATCACTATCAGTGCTCTGAAGGTATAATAGGTAAATATCTTAGCTCAACCTTCCATCCGGCCAAAGGTTTTTCATGATTCAAGATAAGGAGGATTCTACAGAGACAAACCTCCGGGGATCCACTATAGCGGGATGGGTTTTCTCAATGGATTGATGTATGTTGTCCAATTGTTGGATGAGCTTAAATAAGGGGTGACGTTGATTCCAAGGATACGAGCTTGAATAATCCGTCGGGTTTTGATACTCTAAGAATGCTTCAGCCTCAGGGTTTCGCTTGAGTGTGTGCAGGGAATCGCGCAGAGTCTTCAAATCTGTCAGTCTCGACTCCATCACCTTTCCTAAACCAATTATCGAACGGTCATTAGCTTTCCATCCAAAACAACGCGCGAATGACGGTGTGAGGGACGCGTTTGTGAGAAAGAGAAACACACTTTTGTTGACCTCCGATCTTGGAAGCTCTTCCACTAGGATTGAAGAAGGATAAACATCATTCAAGATAGGTCTGCAAGTCGCTTCGGGTATGTCTGTTCTTGAATGTATGAGCGATCCTTACCACTTGCCTTCGCTTTGTCAACACCACCATATTGGAGCTGGGGGTTACCGGAAATGTGAAGCTCGATAGTTTCTCTTTCGTCGGCAGTCAGAGGGGTCGAGTCTTCAAGGATCTCAACCACCGACGGTCTGTTGTCTTTGACTCCTAATAATTCGCAGTGCACATCGGTGACAAGAGTTCGTTAGGTCTCACTCATAGGTTTCAAATAAGGGAAGTAGAGAGGAACAATATAACATACTCGTGATCAACGGCTCTTGTAAGGTTTTTCCTTCATTGCCCCAAGAAAATGCGCATTGGGTTGCTTGGAAAGACAAGTGAATAACCAGGACTAGAGTGAGAACTTGCTGATGATGCATCGGACCGAATCTCATCACAAACATCGATTCACTAATCCAATGATAGGAAGGCAGAGTCCCAAGAAATATGTGGCCCTGGAAAGTGACGGCAATAGACCAGTTAAATACGCAACCAGGACGATCATGATGAGCTGGGCTGTCTCATTACAGCTTTCTGGGATTTTTTCCCCATGGAACTTGCGGCAGAAGGCGAAGATGAAACAGCAATGGTTGATTCCAAGCTGGCACTCGTTTCGACAGCACTCTCAGTGCCCACACATGGGGGATCACAAACCGGGAGAAGTAGTACATGTGTATGACTAATCTCTGCAATCTTCCCGTCTCCGGTTGTCTTTCTGTTCCTTTTCCTTTTGATGTATTTCTTACTTTCTGCTTTTCACTTTTCTTCTAAAACCTCTGCTTTTTTGCCAAGTTCAAGCCCTGTCAATGGAAGCCACCTGAAACTTGCTGCAAGACTATCAGGGGTTAACAAATCTACACCAGGGGACAAATCTGATGTCCCATGGACACCATTCTGGACAGCATCTGAGCTGTCCATGAGCACTTTCAGGGCAGAGAGTGTCCAATATTGGACACTTCACTCGGCCTGACGATTTGTGGACAGTTTCTGGAAAACTGTCCACTGAATAGTTTTCAGGCCATCCATTGGATGATTTTTTTGGGTTGCTGCAGTGAAATGAAAAAAGTGAATACCTGAGACCTCATGGCCATGCCATCTCACAACTACAAGGCTTGTCCTTGCTGACTGCCTCCACCGTCATTTGGGTGTCAGTCCTTACATAAGCAACATCTGGATGAATCCGTGTGACTGTGGCAGCATGCACAGTCACTGCGCACAAAACCCCACTGAAACCCCCAGATGTTGCTCCCGCAGGGAGCAACATCTGGGGCCATCTTGTATCATCTCTGTTTCAGTGTTGTGTGCACTAGGGGGTATCAAATATAACCAAATCCACCCTTTTTTTAATTGACTGGTTTTGAACAACCCACCATTTTTTAAACATGTTAGTTCTTCATCCTACCCCTTTGTGGACCCATTGGTGGAAAAAAATATTTTTGGATAATTGACTGGTTTCTAATGGTGGATTTCTTATATTTGATACCGATCTGTCTTGCAGACCGGCCTCCAGACTTTGCAGCAAGTTTTTGACGATTGACTGCACTTTCAGAGTTTTTTTTTGACAATTGACTACACTTTTGAAGAATTTGTTGACAATCAACTGTACTTTTGAGCTATTTTTCAACAATCAACCATACTTTTGAGCAGTTTTTTGACAATCAACTGTACTTTTGGCCACCAGCTACAATTAGGCACTTGAACTGAGAATTGTCCAATGGATGCACTAAAAATTGTAGTTCATTAGACACTCTCCACCAGAGAGTGTCCAATGGACAATGATTTTTCGCATCCATCAGACACTTGTCTCAGGCAATCATCACTTGGATGCTTTTGGAAGCATCCAAGTGATGCTGGCTTGCCAGAGCGTCCCTTGGATGCTCCAATGGGATACAATGGACACTTTCTGAGGAAAGTGTCCATTGGACCAACGCTGTAAGTGGTACAATACATGTACTTGTAGTGTACTTGTAATGTATCAATTTTATCCAGATAAACTGTATCAGTATTGGATTGGGATCTAGGGAAGTACAAAATGTATCAGATACATTGTACTGCCTAAGAGACCCTATCCAGGCCCGTGTATCTTTGTTTTGATACAGTTCAGGGCAATAAGATTTGTATTGCAGAAGTTAGCCTACCTAGATGATGTCATGATACAAACATCAAAGTTCAAAGACTCAAATCCCTCATCCCCAGGTCACATCTCGAACCGATCCCTCATCCCCAGCTCACATCTCAAAACATGGCCCATTCCACTCCTCGTCATACTCCGACTCGCAGTCGTACCCCTTCTGTTCCCCCATCACGACGTTCCACCCGCATAGTTACTCCTCTTCGCACCAACGCCAGATATGTCCGAACAAATAGTGACTGCCGTAAATCGTTATCTCAAGATCCGAGAAGTTCCTCTGACTCTGAATCTAGTATCTCCGGGATTCCCAAGCCATCAAGATCCAATGCCAACCCTCGGCAACATCAAAAGAAAAAAAACCAATCCAACGAACAAACCAACACCAACCGGACTCAAAGTGCCATGGATCTGACACAGGATTCCGACAACGAGAACTTCAAAGTCACCAAAAAGCAAAAAAAACGTGCACGAAAGGACTCCGAATTTGGCTTAGATGAAATTGAGCTTTACTTTCATGAACCATTCTATGAGGAGGGGGAAGTAAGTACTAATTGTCTTTGAAATATTTTTTGTCTTGATCTTTGCTTACCGATTCAATGTTTTGCTTCTTTTTCAGACAAAGGAAGGGCCTCCAATGCATTACAAATGCAAATGGTGTGGCATTCCCTACAAGAAAGGTGATGGCTCCCGTGGAAATCTAGTTAAACATCGTGATGGTGCCACCAATCGATCTGCCTGTAATCAACGAGCCGAGGCAATCCGCTCAGGAGCTAAACTACCACTAACTGCAAAAGAGATTGCATCCAAAAAGCGCTCCGAAGAATCTGGCACCACAAACTTAATACATTCAGGAAAATTTGATCCCAAGATACTCAACCAACTCATTGTTCTATGGATCGTACAAAGCTCGTTGCCATGGAGCCGAATCGAAGATAAACTTCTGGGTCTTGCCTTCCGTTACGCTCGACCAGGACTCAAGCTCAATTCTCGTGTCTGGGCTGCAAGTGAAGCACACTCGCTGTACTGTAATTTACAGGAAAAGGTTGTCTCGATGCTCCAGGTAAGTCATCCTGCTCATTTCATTATCTCACTGTTACTCATACTCATAATTAGACTCCTATTTAATAGAATCTGGACTCGAAAATCAGTCTCATCCACGATGTTTGGACAACCAAAGGGAACCGACAGGCTTTTATGGGAATATCGGTCGCTTATGTTACCGATAAATGGGAATATAAGATCTTGCACCTTGGTCTCAAATATATCTCGTGGACCCACAAGGGGAAGTTCTTGGCTGTCCCCTTTGTGAACATACTCAAAAAGTTCTCGCTTCATACCAAGATAGGTGTTATTTCTGTTATACTTCTGATTTTCTTTTTATCGATCCAGATTTTTCTGACTTCTGTTTTTTTTTTTCAACGCATCTTAGCACAAACCACTGACTCGGGATCAAACAATCACACCATGGCCGTTGAAGTGGATCGCTTAATCAAACAAGACACCGGATTCAATCTCGATCTCGCAAACAACCACATCCATTGCTTTTGCCACAAAGTGGCACTTATACTAAATGCTGGTCTCAAAGCGCTCGATGTCGGCACCGTTGGGTTAACCAAGTCAAAAAAAGCGACTCTTGGTTTTACTCCTGGCCTCGCGTGCATCGTCGAAGCAAACAAAGAAGATTCTGATCGATCGAGCTCGTTGGACGAGGCTGCTCACAGCCCTGCTGAGGATCACGACTCCGCCAGTGAATCCGAGATGAGCGAAGACGGAAATGAGAGCACTGATTGTGCTACACAGTCGCAAGGCAACCACGTCGGACCGATCCTGAAAAAGATCGATTCAGTGATCCAGAAGATCACTGCCTCGGCAGCCAAACGATCTGAGTTTGAGACCTGGGCGAAAAAACTGGACTACTCGGGGCCAACCCTTATCGCAGGGTATGGAATTCGATGGAACATAAAATTTGAAAGCCGAGACCGAGGTTATCAGGGAAGAAGTATCATAAATCAGCTGCTTGTGAACAAAAAAGATCGACAGGAGCTGGAGGGAGGGAATAACTTTTACAACGACATCGAAATCTCGCGAAACGACTGGGACCTACTCAAACAGTTGAACGACATCCTTGGGGAGTTTTACTTCATCACCAAGAAGATGGAGGGAGACATCTCCTCAGCGGGGATGATGCTTGCACAGTACCGATGGATTCGAGTCTTCCTGAACAAAAGAATGAATACCACCACCAGTGCAAAGGATGAGTTCAACGGTATGCTTCAAACGATGTTGCGAAAAACTGAAACTTACACAACTGAGGCCATTAGCTGCGATACAATCCTACTTGCAACAATCTTGAACCCTTGTTACCGACTCTCAATGATTAAAATGTGGTTCCCATCACACTTTACGGCCGCACAGTCCTTGATACAATTGGAGTACTCAAACAGGAAGAAAGCATCCAATTCTCGAACTTCGTCCAGAGAAAGCTCGCCCGTGAACCAAGACAAAAATCAAAGAAACTACAGAGACGATGAAAATGTTGATTTTTTTCCCGATTCAGTTGACTTGATACCTGAAGATGAGCTATCTGTCTATCTTGGCGGAAAATACAAATCACCAACTGAACAAGCTGCTGAACCTCTGTTGTGGTGGAGGGTAAGCAGTATCATGATTCATTTCATGTTATTTATTATTTTGTTAAAATTAACATACATATTGTGCTTGTTTTTCAGGACCATCATCAGGAATTCCCTATCCTGTCTCAACTGGCGAGAGACTACTTGTCCTGCTGTTCAACTTCAGCAAGCGTGGAGCGCTGTTTTTCGGCTGCTGCAGATACCTGTGGGCATGACCGAGGTAGCTTGGGAGAACGCACGATTGAGAGATGTGTCAGCTCTCATCAATGGTTGCTTCAGGGAATGAAGCCCGATGGTAATTTTGAGACGGTATGCCAGATCATTAATCAGTTTACGGCAGATGAGGATAACCAGAGAACAAAATATGTCCCAACAATTTCAACATCATTGTAGTTTTCTGAGCAGAAATTTTTTTGACAATTTTACAATAAAATTATGAGTTTACAAAAATTTAGAAAAAAAAGTTACAGATGTATCCAAAAAAAACTTGTATTGGATTGCTCAATCAATACAATACAGGTTTTTTACCATGCTTGTATTGAAAATTTGATCCAATACAAGTTTTTTGTAGTTTCACCATGCTTGTATTGAAAATTTGATCCATTACAAGTTTTTTGTATTGAGTAAGCAATACAATACAGGATGTATCTAGAGAAATGTTTTTTTACAGATACAATACAGGTATATGTCCAGTACAGGACTGTATTGTACCACTTACAGCGTTGATTGGACAGGGCCAGTTCCAAAAAACTCGCCCGGTGGTGTAACCCCTTCATAAGAAATAAATAAACAAGATAAGGCGCAAAGCAGACTTTCAACCCCAATTTAGCAAGTTGCACAAGTTTTTGGGGTCCAACGGACTCGCCATCCGGCTCACCAATAGCATTCAGGGTAGTCTCAACTTGCTAAAACCCTTGGCTTTTGGCAAGTCTCCTCCCAACCCAACCGCACACTGACACTTCAAAGTTGTTGTCCACACTGTGCAACCATTCTAATTTTACATGTTGTCTTCATCCAACAAAGAGATTGGGGTGATAGACCCCACCCTGGCTGATATGGTCAAAAATATTGATAAAGCCAACAATGTACATAATCAAATCCAAAGCAGCCAAAACCTCCAAAAGGGTGAATCAAAGAAAATTGATTGATTGAAATTCTCCCTTGAGTCAATCTCAATCAATTCTCATTGATTACTGCCACTGATCCTCAATTCCTCCCCACTCCTTTTGATTCTGCAGAAGATTGATGATGTATGTATTGATTTACATGGCAATGGTGTAGTTGAATGATCACATTATCCTCAATGTTGAGGAAGTGAGTAGCCATCTGATTGTGTGATGTTGAAAAAAGAAAAGCATTTGTATGGCAAAAAAAGTGAAGGGGGGATGACCAGCGCAATCAGGTCTGGTCAATGTAGAGACAGTTCAGCCTGTTTGTTGGGTTGGTACACCTGGCAAGTCTTATGTGGACCAAATGTTGACAGGTGTGTGACACCCTGTGAAATGTGCCCCAGGCCTGCAAGCCAGGGTCTGCACAATCCAGGGACCATTGTAGATGCTCTCACACAGCCCACAAACAGGTGACAAAATTTCAATTTCGTCATGGTACTGACATTTTTCCATGCATGACAGCACCAGTAGTTGCAGTCATGGTGGGTGAGTTTCTGCAAAAAATGTCAGTGTGACAAAATTCAAATTTCATCACCTGTTTTCAGGCTGTGTAAAATACAGAGACTTTGTCTCTGCCTTTGAATTTCCAGGTCTAGTCAGTTGGGCCAGCCAGCTCTGCCTGGCCTGCTGTTCTAAATCAAAGTTGATGACATGGTATGACAATAGAAGAAAGGAAAAGGTGTGAGGGCACATAAGGCAGGTGTGATTACAATGATTGCATGCATTGTTTGGCTCTTGTTTGGCAGCATTTCTTGGAGTCAGGAAATCCAGGGCAGTAACCTCATGATTTTGTTTTTGTTTTTTGGGGTTAGAGGTTTGCTTCACATTAAACTGATAATTTGGCAATCAGGAATGACTGACAGCAGATTGGATATACTACAGGTAATAATTATATGTTTCTTTTGTTTTGTTTTGGAGATTGGCTGCTGAGATTTTTGCTTTAAATTAGACAATCATGTTGAATCTGTTGTGTTCCCACCATAGAAAACAAGAAAAGTTATGATTCAAAAGAGGAAGAAACAAGAAAACAGTAGTGTATTACTATTAAGAGAGGAGTAGTATATAATTCTTCAGTCTTATTTCTTTTGTAAAGAGTATAAAATAGTCTAAGGAATGAATGACATCATCAAGAGGATTCTGCAATTGTTTTTAGCATGGCTTTGACCGCATTCAAGCTGTTCGTAACGAGTTGAACTTGACAATATTGGTGAAATTGGTTGGATTGCAGCATGACTCCTATTCTCCGCTCATAATCTTCCTCGATACGTTTGATATAGCATGCCAAAATTCTAAGTTCTTCCAGATGACTGACAGATTTAAAGTTGTTGCTTGGCTGAACGAAGATGGAATTCAACCATCGACTTTGATTGAATTTATTTGATAGATAGAGTTGAAGGTTTTCGATCTCTGCAAGGATCTCTCCGCTCTTAGACATCAAATCGCGCTTCCTCTTAAACGTGCTGCTGGTTCGCTGAGGTATCGCAAATAAATTCGGATTCGCCTTGGAGTAATATTCTATCGCTTGGAATAAATGGGACAATTCTGAAGGGGATTTCGGATCTTTATGAATAGTAATGAACGCCTTGACTAGTTCCATTAAGCTTGTAGTGTGAACAGTCACAATGGGTGTTCTTGAATTTCCACTGGCATTCAAAAGGTTTTCAGGTCTAGTCGGAATCTTACTGAACACCAGATTCTTTATTCCGTCCATCATCCATTTTAACCGTTCATTCTTTCTCTCTTGGGGATAAGCTTGGTACGCCTCAAAAACTGCTTTGTTGAGGTTATATGAAAATATATTTTTGAATACTTCCGGGAGACCTGTTGATTTTCGAAATAAAATTTGAGGTTAGAAAGATCTTCAACAGGCAATTAATTTCCACCCCCCCCCTTTTTTCAATCTCAAATCTCCCAATTATGTGGCTTACCCTCGAACATGTTCCCCCAAGAGAAGTGAAGCCAATGGTTGAGGATGTTTTTAGCATTTAAAGGAACCCAGTTGCGAGTCTTCTTCTGGTCATAAAGGTACGATTGTAAGATGTGTTTTATGAATAATTTTGAAGCGTCTTCATTCGTGAGTAAAATACCAAGATTTGGTCGAGTGATCAGCTCGTGCTTGTAGAAGTAATATATCGTTTCACAGGTAAGCCGTTCAAGATTCAAGAAATTGAATTCATATTCTGGGATAAAGTTGGCTTGGATACTGGCTAATAGTTTCGTAAGCTGCTCAATATACTCAATCCCTATGGTCTCGATCTCTCTAGAATTCAGATCTTCCATTATTCTTAGTGAATTTCTTTTTTTTAATACAACGTTTAGGAAAATATCTCAGCTCGATCTTCTATCCGGACAGAACTTTCCATGAATCAAGACAAGGGGGATTCTAGACAAACCTCTGGGGATCTACTACAGCGGGATGCGTTTTCTCAATGCTTTCATGTATGTTGTCCAATTTGTGGACCACCTTGAACAATGGGTGATGCTGATTCCAAGGACGCCAGCTTGAATAATCCGTCGGGTTTTGATATTTGAAAAATACTCGAGGATTTCGCTTGAGTATGTTCAGGGAATCCCGCAGAGTCTTCAAATCTGTCAGTCTCGACTCCATTACATTTCCTAAACAAATTATATAACGGTTATTAGCGAAATATTTTGATGAGGGGGGCCTCCTAACTCCAAAAGAGAAAGAGGGGCATACTTTTATGGCCCTCGGATTTTGGGAGCTCTTCCACTAGAATCCGAAAATGACCAAAATAGTTTGAGTTACTTCGGGTATATCTGTTCTGGAATGTATGGATCGTGCTTACCACTTGTTCTCACTTCATAACTACCTTCATGTTGAAGCTGAGGGTTACCAGCAAGATGTTGCCTGATAGCTTGTCGTTCGTGCAAAGTTAGAGGAGTCGAGTCGTCAAGTATCTCAACCACCGAGGGTCTCTTGTCTTCGATTCCATCGTGGGTAAAAATACTTCGTAAGTCTTACTGTGGTTCGAATGATACGAATCAAAGAAGAATAAAACTTACCATCGATCAACGGCTCGTTCAAGGTTTTTATTTTATCATCCAAAGCTGGAAACGCGCATTGAATTGCTTGGAAAGAGAAATGAGTAACAAATATCAAAGCTAGGGCTTGCTGACGGAGCATCGCTTTGAATCTCATCACAAATAACCAAACCGCTCCGACAATAGGCTTGAAGGTAGATTTGCAAAGTCTCCAGGATAAGCGGCAACTCAGATCCTTCATGTGCAGACGTCAATCAAATTTGCAACCGGGGCAGCGGCTTTGAAGCCTGTCCGACTGGACAGCAAAATGTCTGGGATTTCCCCATGGAACTGGGAGCAGAAGGTGAAACACTAATGCAAAATGCCAAGCTGGCACTCGTTTCGGCAGGGTTGATTCACACATGTGGATCGTCGAAAATGTGAAAAGTATGCAGAAGAATCCATTCAAGAGATGCGCCCGACCCCGTTGCACGTCGCGACGCGACTCCAATCAATTACAGTAACTATTATAACCGGAGACTGATCGGAACAGTTTTACAAAGCTACCACCAGACTGTCCGAGGTGAACACAAACTCAGCCCACCCCGGTTACATCACACAGGTTATAGAACTTGAGAATAATTGTACAAATCTATCTAATACTAATGGTGTGCGTAGATCCCCAGCTCCACTTTGTGGGTTTGTAACTTTGTAGTGGAAGCAGCTGACTCTGGACCCTGGACCATACTTAGAATTGGGCACCCTTGTGTCCAAATCAAGCTCTGGTGGAAATCGATCTTTCTCAAATCTCAATACTCCCCCCCCCCCCAAAAAAATAATACATACAGAAGCTGAGGATTTAAGGATGTTCACATTGCAGCACACTTCCATTGAATCTTGTATACTCATCTGGGGTCGATTTTGGGCCATCAGATTGCAAAAAGGATGCCAGAGAAATGAAGAAATCATATGTTCAAGAGTATTTTTGATTTGCTGCTGAGCACAGCGCATGTATCATTGTTGTCTAATGTTTTTTTTTTTTGGGGGGGGGGGACTAGGTAGCCCTCAAAAAAAGAGAAAGTACAGGAAATCCAGTCAAAAAAACCTAATGGATTATAATCACTATCTTGCAAGAGAAAAAAAATCAATTGATTAAACCACAGACAAAGCACAAATGTAAACAGAAAAAAACAATTCCAACATGGGCAATCAAAAGCTTAAGATGATGTAACAAGTTTTAGCATCATGGATTTGGTTGCCCTCAAGCATTCTTGAAAGAGTTTATGTTGACAATATTGGTAGAGTTGGCTGGATTCCGTAACCATTCCGAATTTTTTGATATACTTTGCTTCGATGATTTTGATATACTTGGCCAAGATTTGAAGTTCTTCCAGAGGACTGATTGATTTGGGATTGACGGTTGACTGATCAAAAATCGAATTCAACCACCGTCTTTGGTTGAATTCAGTTTCCAAATAGATCTGCAGGTTTTCGAGTTGGGCAAGGAACTGGCGGCTTGAAGACATCGAATCAAACTTGGTTTGGAAATCGGGTGTATCCTTGAATGTTTGGAAGGCTCTGGGATTGATGTTGTTGAAATAGTCGATGACTTGAAATAAATGAGCCAGTTCGGATGGTGAATCCGGATGTTGCTGAATGTCAATGAACAATCTGGCCAGTTTTTCTACGCTACTGCTCTTGACATTGAGACTAAATGATCTTTGATTCCCACTTGCATTCACCAGATTTTCGGGCCTCGTTGGATTCTTGTCGAATAACAAGTCTTCCAATTCATTCATTGCACCCTTCAACCTTTGATTCCTTAGTTCTGCAGGGTAATACCGGTAGTACTCAAACCCTATCCTGTTGAAGTAATATAGAAAAGTCTGCTTGGATGTTTCGGGCATACCTATCCAAGATTTGAAGGTTGGAGGTTGAATAAAACTGAAGCGGTAGTTAAATTTTGAATCTTAACACGAATTAGCTTACCTTCGAACATATTCCCACAGGAGAAGTGGAACCAATTGTTGAGGATGTTTTTCAAATTCAAAGGAAGCCAATTCCTTGAAATGGTATGGTCAACAGCAAACGATTCTAGGATGTGTCTTGAGAAAGCCTGTGAGGCGAGATTGCCGGAGAGTAGGATGCCAAGCTTGTATTGCGATATGAGCTGGTGCTTGGAGAAGAAATAGATCGTTTCGCAGACAAGCCTTTGCAGATTCAAAAAATGAAATCTATGTTGGGGAGTACGGTCGAATTGTGTACGACATAGCAGATCAATAAGTCTTTCAACACAATGAATTCCGCATGCTTCTATATCTTCAGGAATCGGTTGTCCGATAACCATTAGTGAATTTCTGTTGTGTCAGGTTTTGGGCCAATTTCTTAGCTGCTTCTTCATCATTCCGACAAGATCTCTGTCATCAAAATTACTTTGAACTGGACGGACCTCTTCATACTCAAAGCGGGATGGGTTGTTTCGATTTTCTCATGAATTTGATCCAATGTTTGTGAATGCTTGTTTGATGGCTGAGCCTGATTCCAAGCGGGCGGGTTGAGAAACTCCTTTGGGTCTTGATATTCGAAGAATCTTTCAGGATCTCTCCTGATTCTGTTCAAGGATTCCCTGAGAGACTTCAAATCCGCTCGTCTCGAATCTATGATAGGCAATATTGAACAGTTATGAGAGAAAAGTACTTTTTGTGTGAGAGGTTTTGGACTCGGAAGGGATACTTTTATTCGCCACAGATTTCGGAAGCTCTCCCACTAGAATCAACAAGATGAACAGTTTCATGGATTAGGTTGCGTGTATGTATGTAGTCCATCTGTTCTTGAAAATGTGTGGATGGTGCTTACCAACCACTCCGTCACCTCGATATCCCAGCTGAGGGATGTTGGAAATGTGTCTCTCGATAGTTGCTTCTTCCGACGGTTTTGGAGAGTATTTTGAGTCTTCAATTATGCTAGCCACCGATGGCATGTTGTCTTTCGTTGGATCATCATAGCAGGAATGCCGGTCGTTATGAATTTACCAATCTTCGTGGGTTATAAGTAAAAAAATAAGACAACTTACATCTGATCAACGGCTCAGCCAAGTCTTCTGCTTCGCCGGGCCGAGAGCAACTGGAATAAGCGCATTGAACTGTCTGCAAGTAGCACACAGTGACTAGTAATAAAGCTACATGAACATGTGGGTAATAGCCTGATGCGAATCTCATTGCGAATAATAATATTCCCGATCCGATATGGAAAGGTGAAGAGTTGAAGCAGAGCTGCAAAATCTGGAGGGGCAGACGGCCAAAGGAAAACTTGCGAGAAGCAGCAGCCCCTCCCATAAGAATTTCTGGGATTTCCCCATGGGACCTGAAACAGGAATCCAAAAAAGGTTAACCCAAGCCCATGAAGAAATGCCAACTCGGTGCACGTCGCGGCGTGACTTGAATCAAAAAACGCGTGCTGCCAATCCATCCGAGATACTGTTAGACATCGATACCTGGTCCAGCGCGATGTGCTCGCTCTAATCAAGCCGGGGGAAGCGAATCCATTATGCGTTTTTGTGGCCCCGATTTCGGCTCCAATCCCAAGGCTTTCTCTGGACGACATTTGCAGTCTTCTCCCAATTAGTATGAGTTGTTTTCAATTGATGTGAGACTCGAGCGGACACGCGCTAGCGGGTTAGTTTTTCGTCAAGCTATCGACTTTGTCGAAAGAGTTGCAAGACATCATGTTGTGTGTGTTCTTGATGAAAGCACCTATCAACCTATTCCTGATGAAAGTCTTGACGGGACCAGACCAGGCGAAGTCCTCGGACTCTTGTATAAACTGTGCTTGTATACTTTTGAGATGAAGGATGATGTGAAGAAGCGGTTGTTTAACAAAACAAGGACGTGTCTTGCTGAGAGTCTCGTGTGGTTGGATGTGTCCTTCCCGAGGGAGGTCGATGGTTTCTCTGAACGGCATTCTTGAGTGAACTGTTTCAAGTTTTTTTTTTTTTTTTTTTGAACAAGAACCACCAGAAACTCACTCGAGAACCAGGAAACCAAGAAAAAAAAAGGAAAAACAAAAAAGAGACAACTATCGAGAAAGCAGGAAGATGGAACAGAAGAACTGCTGCAAGTGTCAAGCCACCAACACCATCGAACTCTCCACCATCCGCAACACAACCTGGTGTCGGTAAACCCCACAAAAAACATTCTTTCCTGAAAGAAATAAAAAATACTGACTTCTACTCCCTCATGTAGACAATGTTTTATAGAACAGATCAACATCAAATTCTTCCAGGGCCTCAAAATCGCCAAGGAGTACTGTCGACCGCCTCCGAAACGGGATGGCATACGGACCATTACCGAGCCTGCATCGTTGGTCATTCACTTCAAGAACGATCTAAGTTCCTTGTAAGTTCTCGATTGACTAAATCACTATGAATTCAAGACTTACCTTTTGGTCGGTTTGAATTCAAAAGTTTGACTCTCCAGTTGATGAGGAATTATTTGAACACCAACCAAGATCGCTCGACTGCCAAGTGGAAGAGTCCTATCGATTTCAGCACCATCGAAGTCATCTCCATCGATTTCGGGAGCGCATCCCCATACATCTCAATTGATTCCTCGTCTGAGGTGTGTGTTCCCTCCCTTCCCCCTTTTTTTTCAATTCGAACGGACATATTGTTAAAATGTTCAACATCGAAATTATGCTCAAAATCTAGACCAAGCTTGTGAATGAGGAGGGCAACAGACCGCCAACGGAAAACGAAGGAACCTTAAGATCGATGGTCGAAAGCTTAGGATTCAGCTTCAAGATACTGAATTTAGATGACCTGTTTGACTCGCCTGCTTCCGTCGAAGAAAGCTCTCCTAATGGTTGTTCTCCAAGATGCTTTGTCGACTTGTCGGATCCGAGTTCAGTCCTTCTTTCTCATCTGCATGAAGGCATCTTTGAAATCCCAACAAAAATGAAAAAAAAAACAATTGGACACTCATTTATAACGTCCCCTTTCACTTGAGGATGCAGATCTTCCGATCAAGACCATCGCTCCGACCGATCCCGGGTTTTCAACACCATCATCAAAAGAAACAGCCATGAAGCCGCTTGCCAGAACGCTACGACCGTTGACCCAAACCTCCCGACGATCATTCATTGAAAGCCTGATCAATAAACGGTTACTCGACTTTTGCAAGCACAAGCCACGGAACAAAGTGCTTGTCAAGCCGACCACGTCTACCCAGATGGCCATCGACACGCTTGCCGGGGTCAGTCTGGGCAACGGATGGAGTCTTGATCAGCAGATCGGACCTAGTAGTTATATCCATGGTCTGTCTCTTCATGTATAGATAAATGTTCCGACTATTCAAGAAAAACGTAATTCCTAATCCCTCTTTCGTTTCTTGCCTCTTAGATGTTTTGGTCTGTAGACCATTGGCTCAAATCGTGGACGCCGAGTTGTTCCAATACTCCAAACTAATGCAGCTCGATCATCCATACCCTCTAATACACCAAGCCCCGACGAAAAAAGCCGACATACCCGCTCTCATCACAGGTACCAAAAACTGCCGCTTACATCCTACCACCGATTCATCACTAGATTTAGCTCATCATTTGACTCCCTGTTTTTAATCAAAATACCTGGTATATATGTATCTCTTAAAGACTTCGTCGTCAAATTGGAAGAAAATTACCCGATGACTAGTTCAGTTATCAATCAAACCGTCAATAAGATCGGCAAAAACAAATCCGCCTTGGCGTCTTCCTCTACCACATCCACGAAGACAACAAGAACGGCAACAAATGGGAAGGATTGCTCAGTTACAAGGACCTGTCCGATTTGTCATTTGTGAGTTCTCTTTTTTTTTCTTGGTCATCGGTTTATCAACATTCAAGATGTAGTAGAAAAAAAAAAAAAACATGGCATCGACTGATGCGGAATATTGTGGACTTCTGTGATGATGACAAAGATCGTCAGATCGAAAAGCAAATGAATGGAAGCGTTCGATCACCTTATCGACCCACGAGCCGCCGACGACGCCGACTCCGAACGCGAGCTCGGACGAGTCTGAAATCGTCCGTCCGGTCGAAGAAGAAGAAGAAGACGAGCCCATGCGACTGCGGGACCAGCTCTGTTATGCGTGTCTGGTCACCTTCAACGACCATCAATACATCGCCCATCCCTCGCAATCTGGCCATGATTGGGTCCAGTTGCCTGGCTTCTATCAGCCGCTTACTCAGCTTCCTGTCGCCCCCGCTGCTACCCCACCTCGTCCCTCTCTGTCTGCAAATCATCTCCAGGCCGTACTCGATCAGTTCCTCATCTCCGATTGATCTCCACCTCCAGGCTTCTTTGCTTACTAATTTCAACTTGCCTCGATCCTTTTTCCGTCCATTCTGAGCTGACTCACTAGGTCCTCTCTTTGCCTTCTTTTCATCATGTTTTCTAGGATCTTTTTTTTTTCTTTTCTTTTTCAAACGAAAAAATTCTCTTTGTCTTTGAGTATACCATTAGACCTCTTCTGCCCTCAACAGCAGCTGATCTGTGCTCTCTGAGACCTGCCGTCGCGGGAAATGTGTGTCAAGTTTGTCCCTATCGCCCGCTCGGCTCTTTTAAGTAGTCTAGCCGAACGAACATGTTCAAGGCCTTCCTCTCTAAGTCCCTTTACCCAGTATGTGTTGAGTTTTCAAGACGGTACATTCTACATACACAAGTTTGCGACAGAGACCCTGCAGGCGGGGCCGCGGGGCAGCAGGTAAGGGACCGGACCACCGGTCACCGTTCGGGGGAACAGGGTGTCCATTCCACTGGCCATGCAGGGGATGTGAACCCAGTACTTGTCGGCGAGCGTAGCTGCGGCGGGACAAGCACCTCGTGCCGACGACTCAGGGTTCTAGACAATGTACCGCTCCTCACCGAGGGGGTTACTTTGTGCGAGACGTGTGGACGTCTTCCGCGTGTGTCTCAAGCACGCTTAGGGGAACGGAAGTTCCATGCAAGGTAATTGTATTATTAACATGTTCGGCGAGCTTCCGTCAGGTCGCCTAGACTGTCCCGAACCTCCTCCAGTTAGGGGGAGGTCCCAAGACAGCCGTGTGAGGGTCCGGGCCGGAACGGCCCGGCGTTCATGGCAGTTGCACCGCCGTGGTGCCTGCCCATGTCAGCCGGGCCAAGCCTGGTCTATAGAAGCCATCAGCACCCGCGCCCGAGGGTGCGAGTTGATGTCCTTCGGCTAGCCACCAAAGCAGTCGACCTTGAGCGGGAGGCACGGAGGAAGACGACACTGAGAGGCTAGTAAGACAGAAGGCATCCGGGGCAAAGGGCCACCCGAGAGGGTGGGTAATACAATGATAGATGGGTGGGAGGGAGGTAGCGAAAAAGGAGAGGAGTTGGAGTCTAAAACAAAAAGGACTCTACAGCAGGAATAGGTTGGTTTTTGGAGCGAGGGAGTGAAGAGGCCGAGGATAGCGGAGTCTAAGCTTCTAGTGGAAACTGAGCGAGGGGGCGAGACGCTCTCAAGAGGCTGGCATTTTAAGCTGGCCGATAGCCATGTCCCAGGAACGCGGGTGTGAGGGCAGAGAGTCCGGATCCGGACGGTCTTGTTCCGAGGGGCGTGGGCTGGTGGCCGGTTTGGTGCTAGCATATCAAACCCACGCGGCTAGACTGCTTAGCTCCGGCTGGCGAGCGGCGGGGAGGCTGTCGCCGTGGCCTGGACGGGACGCGCAACGTCCCGTTTGGTTGTGAGTGCGTTTCATGGACATCCCCCACTTCCCGTTGCACTCTCAGTAACACGGTATAAAGGTGTCGAGTCTTGTGCTCTGTGCGGTCTCAGGTGGGGGGAGGACCTCAAAAAGATGACCGACTCAACCAACAAACCCTCAGAAGAACCCAAGAAGCTATCAAAGGAACAGCAACTTCGGCAGCAAGGAGGTAGGTATTCCTCATTTGTCTCTCATCCTGCTTGTGCTTGAATACATCCAGCTAATACCACCGGAATCTCTCGATTTGTTTAGATTTGGTCATCCAAGGGTACAAAGATCTGGCCGACAAAACTAGCTCATTTCTTCATAAGCATAATGAGCTACTTTATTTAACAAGGTCTAGACCGGCTAGTTTCCAAAATGCTGTCTCGATCGACCAAGCTCACTTGAAAAAAGGCTTACTAGTGCAACTACAATCAAGCCTTGTACCTCAGCTTCAACAACAAATATTTACCACTTTACAGCTCACAAACCCATACGACTTGACGAAAGACCCAGGCTTACAATTCAAATGCATCTTGGAGGTCCAGGCCGAACTCAATCCCATCTTGGATCAAATATTCTCTGCGACCGACGTTTTATGTCCGGGGCCGTTGCCATCCCCATCCATCCGAACAAACGACCAGTACCTCAAAGAGCTCAAACCCTTCAGGATCCGCGCCCTATATGATCATCTGACGGGATGTTTTCTAAATCAAATTTTCAAGGTTTGCAATGACTCCTATGATCTCATTCAACAGCTGAAATTGTCAACCAAAAAGTACGAGGGCGAGGTTGATCTAGCTTCCGCCCGATACTATTTGAATGCAGAAGGGGATTACTGTTTACAGTTGATTGAGAGGGCCATAAACTGTCTAGAAGGATCCGAGTTTGATGTCGTCCAAGTTGATTGGCGGTACAACCAAAGTGTTATCAATGGACACCTGCGAGAGCTCTTGAGGCGGATCAATCCCACGACACCGTTAGACGAGCAAAACAGTATGCCAGGTCCACAAACCCTCAGTGAACCCGTTGTCAACCTTACAAAATCGGTCTTACCCGTCATAAAGCTCTGCAGACTTTTTTTCAACAAGCTATCGGAACGAGGAATGAACAGAAAGCGCTTGCCACTTTTTACAACAATGTGTTCCTATCAACTGAATCTTATCAGTAGATTAGCTGGAGATATTGCGGGAAAACTCGATAGGATCTTGAGTATCTTACGAGCAGCCGATACGACCCTCAATGAAAATATCATTAGATCACTGACAAAGACAGTCAAAGCACTCGAAACTCACTTCGAAACCCCTTTTCTGCTCATCCTCCTCCACTTTCTTCCCATCATCCCAGATACCGTCGGCAATCCCGTTCAGAATTACTTCAAGGAATGGTTCGCTATCTGGAACACACAATTCACCCTAGCAATTAAGAATCTCTTGAATGTTATTGAATCATACAAAGGCGATTTTGAATAATCTTTCTCCTCCTTTTCTCTTTGTGTTCTTGTTGCCAAAAAAAGACCTTGGTATTTCAACAGCTCGGCTTAACTGCCCAAGTACATATAGCTATATTCCAATTTAGAAATTCCATGTATAGGAGGTGCTAGTGATAGCCCCCGCAGCTTCTCACTACCATGTAAGTATGGACAACTAGTAATCCTTACATCCTGACCACAAGCCAATGGGGACTATGTCACATTTTTGCTGCCTTTTTAATGGGGCTTAATATAAGGGGTAAGTGAATTTTACAAACTATTTTTTACAAGACATATGTCTTGTAAACCGGATAGTTTGTAAAATTACATTTTTATGGGGTTAATGTATAATTTTACAACCCATCTGTGATTTTCAAAGGTTGTAAAAAAATGGTTTGTAAAATATGTTTGTTAAAATTGTACCACAACATTGGATTATGTAATTTTACAAACCATATCATGCAAGTCTTGCATGACAAGGTTGTAAAGTTGTATAACAAAACTTAAATTTAGAATTTTACATGACATTTGCTTGCAAACCATAATGTCTTGTGAAACTAAGTATGTAAAAACCCTTATTAATACCCTGTAATAGAATTTTACAACACATAATTTACAATCTACCCACCAAACAAGGTTAAACTCTCACCATGCCCAATGATTTCAATTGAATCTCCCACAGTCGCCAAGATCAAGCTTCCAACGTGAAACCTTGTTTTCTGAAATTTTTGAGAAAAGGTAAACTACTAGCATTATCTGTCACAGATTTTCAAAGCCGTGAAATCCTTGTGACATGTCCCAAATCTCCCACACTATGAAACCTTGTTCTCTCAAACTTTTGAGAGGGTATACTATTAAGATAATATGTCACGGATTTTTAAATCTGTGAAACCCTTGTGACTTGTCTGACCTTTTTGCAAACCTGTGACATTTTTGATTGTCTGGAAGTTTCAGCCTATTTTATGGACCCCCCTGCAGGTCAGGTCAAGGGCCGCCCTGGTCAATGCTCAACAGATTAATTGGCTTCCCAGTTCTATCACCAGTGTCAAAGAAAACATGTGCTGGCTCCTTTGTTTGCGCAATTGAGCACCTTGGAAGTAAGAGTATGTTGAGAAGGAGATTCAGAAGATAGTTGAAGAAATTCCAGGTACATCTGGCAACATCCCTTTCAAGGAGATGAAGTCAATCTTGACCAAATAAAACAGTTTGAATTTGATTCCCCACAAGGCCAAAGACAAAGATAAATCAGCTCCTCCAACTACAGCTAAACCCCAGGCCAGAGGAAAATCACCCGCAACATCTATGAAATTGAAATGATTTTGTTCTATGTTTTTTTCTGCAGGACTGTTTGAACTTCACTCTTCCTTTCATTCTTTTTACAGCTGTGTCTTTTTTCTTTTTAATTTTCTTTTTATTTTTGCTCAGGCTGTGTCTTTCTCCCTTTTGTTAAATTCCTTTTTGTTTTTGTGGAGGCTGTGTCTTTCTCTTTTTTCCCCTTTTGTTTTTGTTGAGGCTACCTTTCTCTTTTTTCTTTTGATTTCCTTTTTTATTTTTTATTTTTTATTTTTTGAGGCTGTGTCTCTCTATTTTTTTGATTTCCTTTGATTTTGGTGTTTATTTCTGTGGAGGCTGTGTCTTTCACTTTTGATTTTTTTGAGGTTGCAAAACAAGGTTTGCAAAATTCAATTTTACATACTATCTGTTACAATTTTGCAACACATAAATCACAACTCATTTTAAGGGTTGCACACTAATGGTTGCAAATTTCCTTGAAGGAAGGCAAAAAGGTTGCAAAATATGGTTTGTAAAATTCAATTTTACATACCTTGTTGTGCAATTTTGCAAAACATAATTTACAACTCATAGATGGGTTGCAAACTAATGGTTGCAAAATTCCTTGAAATAAGGGAAAAATGTAATTTTGCAAATCATATTGTTTGCAAGACATAAGGGTTGCAACATATGTGCCTTAAAATTCTACTCCATGGGGCATGGGTTGCAATTTTAAGGCACATATTTTGCAACCCATATTTTTTGGTGATGGTTTGTAAAATTATACATTACCCCCATAAAAATGTAATTTTACAAACCATCTGATTTACAAGACATATGTCTTGTAAAATATAGTTTGTAAAATTACAGCAACCCTTAATATAATCAGGTGGTTGAGACAGACTGCAACAGTGGTCAATTCACACTTTAGTGTATGGTGTTTTGTTAAGCCCTTACTCTATTCACAAGATCGAAATTGGACACTGTAGCCATGACAAAGGAGGTTTTCTCCATGTTTGTGGCCTTTCATGTGCTCTGGACAATGCTGCTACACCACCAGTGCAGTTGGACGTCCCAGGGGCAGGGTCCAGGGGGACGGCCCCAGGACAGCAGCCCCCACATACCAGAGCATCCCAGGGGCGTGCTCCTCCACAAATAAACGGCCATCTCTGGGATGTCCTTGTGGAGCGTCCCCGTGACGGCCCCACAATTCATCCCACTTCTGTCCTGGAGGTGTTTCAGGGATGTCTCTTCAAATAAATTCCCACTGCAGGATTGTGGAATGTGGCGTCTCTGAGCCGTCACCCAGACGGCATTGCGTCATTTTTTTGGCAAAAAACAATGTCTTATGCACATCCACCAGCTAGCCCCAGGATACTCATCACACAATAATCACACAGTGAATGAGATAGTGAAATGACACTTGTTGTGAATAACACACTGAAACACATAATTGGTCATTAACAACAACAACAAAAAACATACAAAAATCCGATTGGGAAATGCACCCGTGCATGCCAACCAGCCTGAGAAAGAAACAAGCACTATTTACATGAGAAAAGAAAAAGGTTAACAACCCAAGTGGGTTCTTCAGACATCCTCGCCAGGATCTCCCTCGGCTTCGACGTTCACAGCAGAATTGCTGGCAACAAGAGCCTCTATTTCCTCGTGTGTTGGAAGAGAAATGGAATCCCGATCTATGTTGGAAAAGACCTCCTCGCCACCAAAAATTTTGCGATCGTACCTGGTCACCAACTGGTAAAAACTGTTTCAAGCAAACAGTGAAAGCACCATTGCATCAACATTGTGATCAATGGTCAAGTTAAAAATTATACGCACACAGATCGGTATTCGCGACTCTTATAGGCCAAGTCACGCAAGTGTTCATCAATGTTTTTCCATTGTCGATTGGATTCCCCCCCTTGGCGTATGTAGTTTATTATCGTTTGGAGTCGCAGATAAGCCACACGCGCCTTCAGAAGACCATACTCCCTCCGCCCTTTTTCGGTGGTGTCTGTTGCTGGTGCGTTGTTGGGGAGTGGTGGGATCAAACTAGACCTCATCTGTAGAAGCATAGATTTAAAAATGTAGAGCAGGTGAGGCACTACTCTTCATGAAGAGGGGGGAGCTGTTGCTTACCAAAGTCAAGAGGGATGATATTGTTGGAACCGGGAGCTCAGATTTCATATCAATGTTTGTGAGTAGCTGAACAAAGTTGGTGGTTAGTTCACACACTATCCAAAGATTACAGAATTTGAGCTCACCAAGTCTCTCATTTTGCCTCGGCTGTTCCTGAGTTTACCTCGTACATAAGTAGTAACACTACCTTGTGCAGCGGGATCCGGAACAGAATAACCACGTGGCAGGTAACGCATCTTGAACTCGTCACTCTGTTCATTAATCTTCTCCTGAATTGGGCAATAATCCATACTAGTGAGTTAGTTTCACAAAGAAAAGGCAACACATGAGATAGGCCCACCAGTACTAAAGTGAGGAGGCCTCTTGCCTTCCTGGGAGCCCCCCGAGGCGCCTCAGAACTGTAGACGCCCAAATTTCGGCTCATCAAGAGCTCTCGGGCTTGTCGGGTGACATAATCCTGGAATATTTGGTTCAGCAAGGAGGCAGCACAAGTTCAGCTGGGGTAAGTTGGACATACACTAAATACTGCCACGTAGTGGAAGTTTTGAGCCTGGGACGCCATGGAAACTTCTGCTGACGCTGCCCCTGGACCATGAGGCGCATTGAGAATATCTTGACGGAGCCTTTCAATTGCTTGCCTGACCGATAAGAGGCCATAAATCCCAACGACATATTGCCTTGGCAATGGCACCTGGGCATTTTGTTTTATTTTAATTTATTTTTAGGGTTTTTTTGGGGGAGAAGAAATAAGATTCTATGGTGTTTGAAGGATGATAATGTCCAGTACATACATAGGCCAGTTGTTCACCAAGGTCAGCATACGACCCACCCAACTGAAATATGGCATCGACCTCTGAGACGAACTGGTCGTTGATGGGCTCGTCATCAACAGTCAGATGCACCCTAGCTGGGGGCCATGCTCCCTGGGGGTCTGCCTCATTGCCAGTAGGTTGGACTGCTGTTGCTTGTCGAGTGCTCAAGGCAGTGGCCCGTGCTCTGCTTGGCACCCCAGGGAGATTGGCTAAATAAGGATCACAGGCACCTGTCAGTATCAGGTACAAGGATCATGTAGGTAGCAAAGATTCTCACCCGGTCTTGGTCTCGAGGCCCCACGGCCCGGCCCGGCAGCTGCTCTGGTAGAAGCGCCCCTTTGCGGGCCAGCTGGTAGTCGGCCACCAGCCCCATGAGTTCGGCGGACCGTCGGCCTGACGGGACCGCTCTGAGGTTCGCGGTTGGTTGACTGGGTTGTCAACCGAGTGCGGGGGCCAGGGGGGTCCGGTGCAGGCGAGGGAGTTTGGTCGCTCGTCCCATGGGAACGGTGGACCGTCGGCCTGTTTGCTCCAGTGTGAGATTCTCGATTGGACGACTGAGTCGTCGCACGAGTGCGGGGGCCAGGCGTGTCGGGCGCAGGCGAGTAGGATTGATCGCTGCCTCGATACTCGCTTGCGGAGTCTGAGGAAACAACGACGGACATGGTGAAAAAGGAATTGGACCGTCGTCCAAGTGTGTTGGAGTCTTTGATCTTCGTTTCAAGATTCCGTCGATATGCCGTCCGGATGGGAAGACGGACTGTCGGAGCTATTTGAACCAAACGCGAGCAAGGTGTATCATAAAATCAAAAAAGTATCAATCTATAAAGCTATAGCCTAGAAAAAAGTAATATCAAATCGTACCCGATGCGAATGAAAAAGCTTATCGATACTGGACCCAGTCAGGAAGCCGTGCGGATTGCCAGCTCAACAGCAATCACGTTGTATCGGTCGAAGTAGCGCAGCTATCGTCCGTCCCGTGGTGCTATCTGAGGAAATTGTAAACACGAAAAAACGATCAAAAGGATTTAGAAAGGAAGCGTGAGGGCCGGAAGAATAATATCGTTGCTGGATCGCCAGGTTGAACAGCGAACACGGAGAGTCAGTCGTGGTAGCTCAGCTATCGTGCGTCGGGAGTAATCTGAGGAAAATGTAAACACACAAAAAAAAGGCTTAGAAACGAACAATGCCTTGTGGAAGTGATTGGATGGAGAGAATTAAGGACAGAACGAAGTCACTTCTGTCCTTGCGTGAAGTTGTTAAGGGCGACTGCGCGACCTTTCCCAATTGGGTTGGTTGTCGCTGATCCTCCATTCTCCACCAGCAAGAGGCGAATGTTTGATCGAGGGGGATCCCCATTGAAGCCATGGGTGAAATTAAATCACCCATGGTCGAGCATTGTTGTTCCATCGGAGCTGAACGGGCAACAGGCCGTGCCCTTGTGTAAGGGGACAAATGTCCAGCCTGTTGCCCTCGACTTGCCCTCCTCCTCGATTATAATCCGGTCATGTCAGAAGGCGACCTCCGACTCAAGATCGGCGCTCATTGAATCCTCAGTCTGCTTAACGAGGTCTTGAAGAGTAAGTCAAACCTCGCTTCAAAGCCTGGCCCAGTTGGCCCTGACCTGTGTGGCCATACCCAACCTAACATCACCACCTTTGATACAGATACCGCAGGTCTCGTACCGCATTTCTATCTTCACAATATTGTTTTCTGTGACCAACCGTCCGCTTGACCAGGTCTGGAACCGTAAGTCAAACCTCAAATCAAGGACTCGGCCAGTTGGCCATGAATTGTGTGTCGATACCGAAAACTAACATCATCCCCTTGATACCGATGCCGCAGGAATCAGACTACAGCACGCGTTTGTCCGTGGTTCATCAATTGGTCTTGCTACGACCTCGTCGCGGACTTCTATACCGCATTTCTGTCTTCACAATAATCTTTTCTCTGACCGACCGTCCGCTTGACCAGGTCTTGAACCGTAAGTCAAACCTCAATTCAAGGACTCGGCCAGTTGACCGTGAATTGTGGGGCGATACCGAAAACTAACACCATGCCCCTGATCCCGATGCCGCAGGAAGCAGACTACAGGACGTGTTTATCCTTGGTTCATCGATTGGTCTTGCTACAACCTCATCGCGGACTTCTATCTACCCAATCATTCTTTCTCTTTGGGTTCTAAACCAAGTGATTTCTTCTTTGCTGGACTTTTGCTGTGCTCATTTCTTATACTTCCTTAACAAAAGCAATCTATTTTCTTTAACTGTCTGCTTTTAGGGCCCTATAGCTAAGGTAACTGTGCCACCTGTGTCTTGTCCTTTATGCCTTAACCTACCATGATGACTAGATAGTTAAAAATGAAATCAACCCTTTTTTTCTCATTTGAACAAGTCAGTGAATCAGCACTGGAGTAATTACACAGTACGGATAAGATCCACAATGCCCCGGGGTAATGCCTCCCAACCAGATGTTGAGCTAGACCCAGGTGAGCACAATTTCTTTGCAAACATCCCACACACCAACATTCATATGAATATTTGTTAATTTTTTTCTTCAGCTGTATGGATTAAGGTGTCAGATGAGCCGCATGGTGGAACATGGTCGTGTTTGCTCTGTGGGTCCAGGAAGATGGTATTCAGTTCCATTCGAAGACACATCAATTACCCAAAACATCAAGAATTAGAAACAAAATTCTTGCAAAGCAGAGTTACTCGCGTTGAGGATACAATTAATCATCCAGAGTCCCGCCCGAGCCCACATGAGAACGAAAATTCAGCTGGTGTTGAGGCTGACGATCCTGCGCTGGACATGTCAAATTATCAAACCACTCAATCATGGACTGCGTGTGAGGATCTGGCCACCAATGGCGAAGAGGATCATGAATTTCTGGACACAGAGGAATCAAATACAGAGGACAACACATTCAGTGACAACGAGCTGGACTCGTGTGCAAGTGACCTTGACACGTCATCTGATTTATCCGATTTGAACTCAAACGATGAGGCCGACGGCGAGGATTTTGAGCTATCGGCAGAAGACCTGGATTTAATGCGTGAGCTGGGCGGGGTTGGCGATGGAGACTTAGACAGTACCACACCTCGACCTCATGTGGATAGGAGTTGGTGGCCCTTCCGGACCAAAGAAGTGTGTTTACAGTTAATCCCCGTTCATGATGCTTGCTTATTTTATCTCTTCTGTCAGTACATGATTTCTTCACTAGTCATTGGTTACACCCACGCAATACTCTCTCAGAGCATCTACGACCGCATCCGCTCAATGTTTTCATTGGTACACGTCATCCTACCTGATTGGACAACAAACCGACGTGAGAAAAAAAAACACCGGGGTTTGCTACAGATGGATGTGAAAAAGTCTTACTCAATCCTGGGGAACCCTACGTACGCCCTGAGCATCCAGAAGATCCTCGCGCAGGAAGTTGGAAATCCTTTGGTCACACGTGCAATGGATTACTATCCCGAAGATGCGAGGGGCAAAAATATATTCAAGTTATCTCAATCCAAAAAATGGCTTGAGGATATGGACCCGGATTCCAGAGCCCCAATGGTTCGAACAACAAACGGAGATTTCTATCTATTCGAGCCGGTTCAACTCTCCAACGATTCCGTTGTTGTTCCCATTTTTTTTATAAAAGAGGTGAGGATTTGTGGTCAAAGTGTGTGACCCCAGCTTTTGAACCAGAATCCAATGGACACAACCTGCGAATCTCTATACCTTGGCGTGTCAATTTCAACTCAGATATCGCTCACGAAATCAATATCTCTGAATTTTATTGTGCGTTTCCAAATATTGCTGGACCAGATGGACTCATGCTATCTCAGCGATGTCAGGGTAGACTTTATGGTCAGTTGTTCTCCTTCTGCATATTCAAATGGGTATTCCACATTCACCTTGAAACTGATGTACCATTGCATCAATACATTAACAACAGAGTTGTGTGATCACATGACCGTGATACATTTACTGCCTAATCCATGGAGGACCCACGCGCAAGGAAGGATGATTCGACACATGCCCATCACCTTGTATTGTGATGACACCTCAGGAAATCAGTCAAAACAATGGAACAAACATGTCTCCTTTTATTTCACACTGTCTGGACTACCCCCAAACTGGAGCAACCAACAATATAACTGTCATTATCTCACCACATCAAATGTTGCAAATGCAATGGAGCTTGCTGGCCCAATCGTGGATGAAATGAAGTGCGGACAATCTCTGAAACATATCCACTTGCTTTGTTTATTTTCCCAACTAATTTGTTTGCCAATGTACATATGTAGCCAATTGTCAACCACCGGAGCCGTTGCATGGGATGCTGGCTTAATGGAAGAGGTCCTCGTTACATCAAATGTCCTGTGCTTCCTGGGGGATTCCCCAATGCATGCTGAGGCAACAAGTACCCCAATACCTGCCAATTCACTCCACCCATGCCGCGCGTGTGATCTTTTGTCAGTCAGTGTCAAGGATAAGGCCACTATTGATTATGTCTGTTCGTTCACCATGCTTGATTCCTCTGGCCTTTGGGTGAGTGAATCATAAAATTTTGCTTTTTTAATTGGCAGTTGAACTTGAGGTTTGTATTGTCCTAGATTAATAATCCCAAGCGGTCGTGGGCCAAAATCATCGAGAATTGTTACCACATATGGCACAAGTCGGAGAAGCCTCGGACAAAAACGGCTGTTGGCGAGGAGATTACAAAGTTAGGTGTGAGGGACGTCCTGAACACCTCCATCATTGATCGGAGGTATGAAATATTGGCCAAAAAGGACGCGGCAACAGCAGAGGAGGTCCTATTTGTTCAGGGGCTCAAAAACTTGGACCAGGGAGGAAAGGAGGCTTTGTTCAGTCCTTTTTTCCAACTTAAAGGTAAGTGGCTCCCTTGTTAGTTGATTGCTTGCTAGTTTATTGGTTGACCTGTGACAGCATATGTTTCTCCAAATAGGCTTTGATGGGTGTGCTGACACCCCAGTAGAGGTGCTCCATGTTTTCCTCCTTGGGATTGTCAAATACATGTTGCGATCATTCATGAAATCCCTCCCGGCTGGCGTCCTACCAGAAGTCATGGCTCGATACGAATCGTTTGAAACCAAAGGATTGAATGTCCCATCATTGCGGCCTTACTACCTCACCAAACATTACAGCAACCTCATTGGAAAGGACTTCAAGGTAGCTCTTCAGGCGGCCCCCTTTGTTTTGTTTGAATATATGTCGGAGGACAAGCGCTTGGTATGGTCAGCTTTGTGTCAACTTGCTCCGTTGGTGTTCCAGACACACATTGCAGACATGGATGTGTATCAAATCAGCCTACGACAACTCGTCCGGGTTTTCATCTATCACCTCATCAAGAGCACTGCGCAATGGGTCAACAAGCCCAAAATTCACATGCTACTTCACCTTGCTGACTCAATTCTCCGCTTTGGACCAGCTGCTTTATTTGCGACGGAGAAGTTTGAAAGCTACAATGGTGTATTACGGAAATCCTCAATTCATTCCAATCGTCAGAGCCCTGGGAAGGATATTGGTATCTCCTTTGCAAACTTCCGAAATCTACGTCACCTAGTCTCTGGGGGGTACTTCTTCAACTGCATTGCCAACGCGTACCAAACTGCATCTGCCAAGGTCCTCGAACTGTTTGCAAACAGTCCTTCAGTTCAAAAGTCAATGGGTTACAACGCCGAAAATCTGGACAATCCAATTCCCTTCAAACCCACTGTGGGGGGGCGACGAATTCGCAAGGCCAAACACGTGACCATTCCTTCTGACCTGACCACTCAACTTCCAGGTCATACATTCAAGCAATTGCCTGGCATCCACATCACAAGGAAGGATCTACTGCGTGTTGGTTCTTTTGTTCTTGTGAGTGATGGCTTGGGTTTTGTCAGTGCTATAGACTGGAAAATCATAATTTTGAGTGGCATCTTTTGTATAGTTCAAATCTAACCAGGGCGCCCAGTTGGAGTTGGGGCAAATAGATCATATGTGGGAAGCGCGGAAGGAAAGGAGGGCCAAATTCGTAGTATGTCTCACCCCATTCGAGTTCGGTGGTATCAGTAAATTCTATAACATGAGGGAGACAAGGAGGGGTGGTCCGGGGCGGATAGTAGGAATTCAGGTATGTTGACTGCTCTGTCTGGATATGGATCAGTACGTGGACAGACCTTAACCTTTGAATATGGATACCTCCGTAGGACGTGGTTTCTACACTGAATGTTCAGCACGATTGCCACAAGGGCCGATGCTCCATTGACTTGACCAAGAAAAGGAAGTTGGAGCGGGAAGCCATCGGTCGTTATGTGGGTGAAGTGACACACACAGATAACGTCAACTACATTGTGAATTTGGCCTCTTTGTCTTCAGTGGATGCTCACAGGGACTATTCAGGGGTACCGGTGGAGGCGGTTGACTGTAGGAAACAACTCAGAGGGGTGCATGAGGGATTGGCTCAATGGCATCTTGCAGGTACCAAAACTGGACCACCGGAGCCGCCTGTGGTTGTTGATCCTTCCCTGCTCTGAATTATTTGTTGTATCTCACTGGGCCCGTTTGAGGCCCCAAAGTGGCCCACCTGAGGGGCCAGGGCTTGTTCATACTGATGTGACTTATTTAGGGCCTGTATGCAGCATGAAAATTAAATTGTACAATATTTTCCAGGTTTTATATTCCTCAAATTCTCATGGAATCAAAGGTCACCATTGCCGAGGGCCAGTTATAAGCTCAGAAATGGAGAATTACAACGCCAGATCTCTACCCTTGTTTCATTAATTTTTGTACGATACCGGAAAAAATGATCATTTTTATAATATTTGTCATGTGGTGAAGCCCTTATTGTATTCCACTTCCATTTGTGGCTAAAGTTGTACAAACAGTTATACTTTGCTTGATTGTTCTAATTTTTGGTCCCTTATGGGGATGACTGTTGTCCCCCTGTCAAGTGTTGAAGCTGGTTAGGCTTCTGGAACACAGGGTAAACTCATGGGGAGACTCTGATGCCGTGCCCCCCACGTGGGAATGGCTAAGTGATGGTTGAGTCAGTGTGGGACGTGAGATGGACGCCGGGGGGCAGTGATGAACTGGGGACAGCTCAGGGGCAATGACGTCCCTGGGCTGCAATGAATTTTGTGAGTTGGATGTCACAGGGATGCCCGGCAGGGACAATAATGTCCTGGGGATGTTGTCCCGGCCCAGGGACGTCTCAGGTACAATGGCATCCCTGGGCCGCGCTAGTTTTTGTGAATTGTGATGTCCTGGGGACGGCATCCCGTCCCAGGGACGTCTCAGCTGCAATGGCATCCCTGGGATGCACTGATTTTTCTGGGCTACCTTTCCCCTCTGTTTTTAATGGGACTTATGTCAACAGAATCAAGAGGGTGAACTAGACTACAACAGCTGTCAGCTTGCAATTTTGTGTTTGGACTTGTTTTGTCAAGCCACTACACTATCCACAAGAAGAAAAAAAGATTGGACACATAGTGTAGCATTACAAGAGAGGTTGTCTCCCTGTTTGTGACTGTTGGGCTCTGGATGATACAGATGTTGTGTATTGGTTGTTCAATGCGCTATGTGACATCCTTGGAGGGAACTTGGGCTAAGTTTGTCCCTGTAAATCTTTCAACTTCTGACACAAGTTTCAACAGGAAAAAAAACCTAAGTCTCATTTGGAGATGTTGCTGTGAAAGAATATTGATTTGATGAAATGTATACTACAAAAGCAGAAAATGATTATGTGACAGGGTCCCACTTTTATCTTTGCCACTTGACAGTCTAATCCAAATTTGTTTGACATCTACAATGGGATTTGAAATGAGCTTCCCACAAGTTTTAGCCTTACTAGTGACTCTATTCACTTTACAAGAAGTTCACTGCACTTCAATATACTCACTATTTGGTTTGAAAGACAGCTCAACTCAGCCGTTGATCAAAAAAGGTATGCAACACATTTCATTCTCTTAAACTTAGGTCATCTTGCATCAACTCATAACCACTAAAAAAAGAAGAAACAGTCAAACACTTTCCTACCACATCCCAGCTTCATTCATGGCTTGGAATACCAGACAGTTCAACTTATGAAACCCAGATCAAAAAAGGTATGTTTCTTTTCGATGAACCTATGGATTTTGGAATCAAAAATATCATTTGGATCAATATGAGAAATAAAATCAAAAAATATAACATGCTCTTGGTAGATCATGGACTTGAAAACTCAGATTACTTTGCCATCTTGGAAGAACCTAGAATTGCACAACAAGAATCATCTACAAGTATCCCTCAGCACGATTCATGGATTGCTCAAACGGAATTCTCAACTGAACCTCTACTTGAAAAGGTATGTTGTCTTCTTGTTTCTTTTTTTCTAATTTTGAAGCAAAATAAAATGGCCAAGACTCCCATTGACAAAACTTTGATTTATGGGAACCAAAGGGAGGAAGATGGCTCTCAGTGTCTCAAATACTAGGAAAATCAAATTACGCTCCTACCTTGGAAGAACAGCATCTAGTTAAGAAGAAACTCTCTCATATACCTCATATTCAATCCAAAGGCAAGGAATTGGATAAAAAGGGTAAGCATTAAGTGTGACATGGGAATCAATTCCAAAGTAAATTGATTCAAATATGTCTGCATTTATTTCAAAAAAAATTGAAGTAGTTGGAGAGATCCCCACATCTGAGGAAAGAAAAAGTATGTGAACCTCATTCAAATTCTCTTCTTGAACTGTTTTTTCTTTCTTTTGGTTGACAATCAATATTGAGTATATTTTCATCAGATTTGATGAAAGAAGATTTCAACTCTTTGAGAGAATCCTGTTTAAGACTTCAATCATCCCACAAAGGATCATGTAATGGATATCTGAACCCAGATGAATATTCTAAACTGTCTGATAATCAGTACAGACATGAACCTATGTACAAACATTTGAATGAGTTGAACCAAATACACATGTTGATGGAGCAAAGATTACTTTCTTTGGATGGAAAGAGAAAGTTGTACGTCAAAAACAAAATCCTAGATCATGAAAAGGTTTAAAATGAGCTGAAAGTATATTTGCATTTGTTTTACTTTATAAAAGCAGGGACTTACTACGGATTGGAGAATACCCAAAACTGGATGAAGAGATGGGAATTACATGTAGGAAGATGATTGAAAAGCTTACTAGTCTATTATGCGAGATAGGACCAAGCCTTTCATCCAAGATAGACTTTCATTCATTGAATGTCCAAAGGCTGATTTGTGAAACCATCTATTACTTCCACAAGCATGCCCTGATATCTGCAGAAAGGCTCGGCCCTTTACTCACCACAAGAGAAGCCTCTCAAGCCTTCTCAAAGCATATCATCTGGTCTTTCAATCACCATCAGAGCAATTCAGAGAACTGGATCCCTCTGAACGGAACAAATATTATCAAGAGCTGGCTCCAATTCTCTTGTGGGAACATGTTTGAAGGTATGTATGTGTATTTCAAAAATGCTAATTTCAAAATTGAATATCTGAGGCCCGACTGTTTTCTTTTCTTTTTTCATTTCAATTCAACACCTTCTTTTTTTTGGGAAAGACTTCAAATCGATTGAGAGAAAAAGCTTTTTGTATCATTTCAACAAGGTCCTTTTAGAATACTACCAACATTATCCAGAGGAAGAAAAAAATCCATGTCTGAAGGACAAGCTTGGAAGCCTGCAGAGGAGACTATTCAACAAGGCACCACAGAAGTATGATTCCAGTGAATCCACAGCGCTAGAATATTATGCGATAAATGATGATCCCCAGACAATAGATGAATTGGGCTCAACATTCAAGCACATCATTCTATTTATACCATCTCATTCAGAATTAACTCATCTGTTTCAAGTCATAGAATCCTTTGGAACAGTCGGAGAACACGATTTGGAAGCCCATAAAAGAGACAAGGATTTCAAACTCAAGTATGATTTGATGGATTCAAGCACCCGATTCCTGGGAAGATTAGAGGACCTCAGGCTCTATTTGCAGCACAAATTCAATCCAAACCAATCGATCAGGTCCATCTTTGACCAGCCACACTGCAATCAAATTCGCGCAGATATCGGCCCCCTTGAAGAACTCGAATTGATTTCCAAGTATCTCATCATCATTCAAGCTGAACATCAGCAAACAACTCGCGACGTCTTTGGCTTCAATCCTCTCAATTTTAGGGTGTATTGTCAACATGAAATCATTCAAAAAAAACTTGATTCTCTCAATTCAATGTTGATCGATTTGGCCTCAAATTTCTGAGAATTTCGCTCCAGGGAAACAATCCTCACATCACAAAATTTTACAACACATCAAACAATCCTTTGTATCTTGTAGAGATGACCAGCTTTACACTGTACATTTGAGCTATCATAATGATGTCTGAGGTTAAGAGCATATTTTTTAATTCAACAAATGATAAATACTGGATGATGTCATAAAGTCCATAGAAAAATTAACAAGAAATGTATAGAGAGTATATCTCATCTTATAGTTTTGGTGGGTGAAGTCAAAATGACTCAAAATTGGTAGTGACACAATTAAACTAAACCAGAAAAAAAAGAAGAGTACAAAGTTAGGAGAGAATAATGAAAGAAGAGTAAAGCCTTCCTAATAACTCCATTTTCAGTTTTTTTTTACAAACAAAGAACAAGAGATAATGAGAGGGATCAATTAATTTCCGGGATCTTATCCCAATAACCCCCACGAAAGAGTTCATGCAGCGGATCCACGGCAGGACGAGAGGCCGGATCATCGGCAGGATTCATCTGCTGGTCCAGGTTTGCGGGTTGCCCGTCGACAGCAGGAGAAGAAGAAGAAGGCTGATCAGCAGCAACGAGCTTATTGATGCTCGCAGGGTCAAGTTTCCAGCATCTCCATGTGAGGAATGACTGGCTGTTGTCCTGGTTGATCTGGTCTTGCTTCGTCGTTATTCTTGATGCACCCGGTGGTTGGTGTGGGTGAGAGGGATGGAGCTGCATCGGTCTGGGATTGGCTAAGGCCCAGACTCAGGGAATAAATGGTTTAGAATAGAAGGAAACTGTTAAGACGTAGTCTAAGTGCATGAATCTGACACATGTCACATCCATCTCCCCAGCTCTCAATCCAAAAAGAATCCCCATATAGCCAGAGATCACTAGATATATTCAGGCTCTTTTCACAGACATTGAAATCAAATACAGTCTGCTGGTATCTGTACTGTTTAGAAGTGAATTCCCTCCCAGAATTTCTCTGGTTGATTGTGTATTTATTTTTTGCTGTCACATTCTTGGTTGCTGCTGTGATGCAAGGCTGATTCCAATGTCTGATTTTTTTCGACTCAGGAAAAGTTAGCAAGCTAGTGTAAGTGCATCATTTCAATGGATGTCACACAAAAGGAACAGCATGAAAATGAATATGCGGCAAGCAGGAAAGGTAGGATGGTGGATTTCATGGTATCTCAAGATGCTCACAACTCAGCTACATACATATTTTTTTGGTTATCCAAACAAGTTTATAACAGTGAGCCAAGGGTAATTTGCTACCCTCAAAACTCTATTGCCTTTTTATATATTTTCATACCAACCTATCATTGCAGCTTCCTCAGGCTCAGGTCACCATAGATCACAATTTAAAATCAAAAAACACTTGAAAAAAAAAATTAAACAGCCACAAAGCTGGTTTGCTTCATACATTACAGAACACTGTGTTACCTGACACGTTTGAGTCACCTGAAAACCGGTTGTAACAAGATGACAGACTATCAGGTCTGGGATGTCTGTTTGGCAGCAGCAGCTATTGCACTTAATTGCGGAAATATTACCCCAGAAATTGGATACATCAAACCCATAGCACCAGTATCCAGAGCGCATGAAAGGCCACAAACAGGGAGAAAACCTCCTTTGTGATTGTCATTGCTACAGTGTCCAATTTTTATCTTGTGAATAGAGTAATGGCTTAACAACCATACACTCAAGTGTGAATTCAACACTGTTGCAGTCTGGCTCAACCTCCTGATTCTATTGACATAAGCCCCATTAAAAGGGCAGCAGAATTGTGACAGAAGCCCCATTGAAATTTCTAGTGGCTTGTGGTTGGGAGTGTATGTAAGGATTACTAGTTATCCATACTTACATAGTATTGAGAAGCTGCGGTTTGGCTATCACCAACACCTCCAATACTTGGACTTGCTAAATTGGAATATATCTCTACTTGGGTAGTTGAGCCGAGCTGTTGAAATGCCCAGGCAGGTCTATTTTTGAAACAAGAACCCAAGGAGAAAAGGAGTTGAAACACTATTCAAAATTGCCTTCGTATGATTCAATAGCATCCAAGAGATTCTTAATTGCTAGGGTGAATTGTGTGTTCCAGATAGCGAACCATTCCTTGAAGTAATTCTGAACAGGATTGCCGACGGTATCTGGGATGATCGGAAGAAAGTGAAGGAGGATGAGCAGAAGAGGCGTTTCGAAGTGAGTTTCGAGTGCTTTGACTGTCTTTGTCAGTGATTCAGTGGTATTTTCATCGAGGATCGTATCGGCTGCTCGTACGATCTTCAAGATCCTACCGAGGTTTCCGTCAATCTCTTCAGCTAATCTACTGATGAGATCCAGTTGATAGGAACACATTGTTGTGAAAAGTGGCAAGCGCTTTCTGTTCATTCCCCGTTCCGATAGCTTGTTGAAAAAAAGTCTGCAGAGCTTGATGACGAGTAAGACCGATTTTGCGAGGTTGACAACGGGTTCACTGAGCGGTTGTGTACCTGACGGATTGTTTTCCTCGTTTAAGGGTGGCGTGGGATTGATCATCCCCAAGAGCTCTTGCAGTTGTTCATCGATACCACGTTTCTCGTTCCGCCAATCGATTTGGACGACATCAAACTCGGATCCTTCTAGCCAGTTTATGGCGCTCTCAATCAACTCTAAACAGTGATCCCCTTCTTCATTCAAGTAGTCTCGGGCGGAAGCTAGATCAACCTTGCCCTGGTACTTTTTGGTTGCCAATTTCAGCTGTTGAATGAGATCACTGGATTCACTAAAAACGTGATGAATTTGCTCTAGAAAAAAGGCCATAAGATGATGATACAGGCCGTAGATCCTGAAGGGTTTGAGCTCTTTGAGGTACTGGTCGTTTGTTCGGATAGATGGGGATGGCAACGGTTCCGGACATAAAACATCGGTCGTAGAGAATATTTGATCCAAGATGGGATTGAGTTCGGCCTGGACCTCCAAGATGCATTTGAATTGTGAGCCTGGGTCTTTTGTCAAGTCGTATGGGTTCGTTAGCCGTAAAGTGGTAATTATTTGTTGTTGAAGCTGGGGTAGAAGGCTTGATTGTAGTTTCACTAGTAAGCGTTTTTTCAACTGAGGTTGGTCGATCGAGACAGCATTTTGGACACTAGCCAGTGTACTAGACACGCTTGCACGATATCGCTCATCATGCTTGTCAAGAAATGAGCCAGTTTTGTCGGCCAGATCTTTGTACCCTTGGATGACCAAATCTAAACAAATCGAGATATTCCGGAGGTATTAGCTGGATGTATACAAGCACAAGCAGGACAAGAAAAACATGAAGAATACCTACCTCCTTGTTGCCGAAGTAGCTGTTTCTTTGGAAGCTCCTTGGGTTCTTCTGAGGGTTTGTTGGTTGAGTCGGTCATCTTTCTGAGGTCCTCCCCACTGCACAGTGCGAGCACCAGCCTCGACACCTTGCACCCTGTTCCCCCGAACGATGACCGGTCCCTTACCTGCTACCCCGCCTGCAGGGTCTCTGTCGCAAATTGCACTTGCTTATGTGTGTGCGCCGTCTTGAAAACTCAACACACACTGGGTAGAAGGACTTCTAGAAGAAGGCCTTGAACATGTTCGTTCGGCTAAACTACTTAAAAGAGCCGAGCGGGCAATAGGGACAAACTTGACACACATTTCCCGCGACGGCAGGTCTCAGAGAGCACAGATTAACTGCTGTTGAGGACAGAAGAAGGAAGTGTTTTCTTGTATAACTGCTTGTTCAGAGTCGATCTCTCGTCGGACGCTTAGGTCTAATGGTATGTTCCAAGATAAAGAGAATTTTTTTTCGTTTGAAGGAAAAAAAGAATAAAAAAAAAGAATAAAAAATCCTAGAAAACGTGATGAAAAGATGGCAAAGAGAGGACCTAGTCAGCTCAGAAAGGACGGAAAAAGGATCGAGGCAAGTTGATATTAGTAAGCAAAGAAGCCGGGAGGGGGGAGATCAATCGGAGATGAGGAACTGATCGAGTACGGCCTGGAGATGATTTGCAGACAGAGAGGGACGAGGTGAGGTAGCAGCGGGGGCGACAGGAAGCTGAGTAAGCGGCTGATAGAAGCCGGGCAACTGGACCCAATCATGGCCAGATTGCGAGGAATGGGCGATGTATTGATGGTCGTTGAAGGTGACCAGACACGCATAACAGAGCTGGTCCCGCAGTCGCATGGGCTCGTCTTCTTCTTCTTCTTCTTCGACCGGACGGACGATTTCAGGTCCGTCCGAGCTCGCGTTCGGTGTCGGCGGCGGCGGCGGCTCGTGTGTCGATAAGGTGATCGAACGCTTCCATTCATTTGCTTCTCGATCTGACGATCTGTTTCATCATCACAAAAGTCCACAATATTCCGCATCAGTCGATGCCATGTTTTTTTTTTTTTCGACTAACTCTTGAATGTTGATAAACCGATGGACAAGAAAAAAAAAGAGAACTTACAAATGACAAATCGGACAAGTCCTTGTAACTGAGCAATCCTTCCCATTTGTTGCTGTTCTTGTTGTCTTCGTTGATGTGGTGGAGGAAGACGCCAAGGAGGATTTATTTTTGCCGATCTAGAGAAGCCTCTCGAGCCTTCTCAAAACATATCATCTGGTCTTTCAGTCATCATCAGATCAATTCAAAGAACTGGATCCCTCTGAACGGCACAAATCTTATCAAGAGCTGGTTCCAATTCTCTTGAGGGAACATGTTTGAAGGTATGTATGTGTACTTCAAAAACGCTAATTTCAAGATTGAATCTCTGAGGCCTGGCTGTTTTCTTTTCTTTTTTCATTTCAATTTAACACCTTCATTTTTTTTTTGGGAAAGACTTCAAATCGATTGAGAGAAAAAGCTTTTTGTATCATTTCAACAAGGTCCTTTTAGAATACTACCAATATTATCCAGAGGAAGAAAAAAATTCGTGCCTGAAGGACAAGCTTGGAAGGCTCCAGAGGAGACTATTCAACAAGGCACCACAGAAGTATCATTCAAGTGAATTTGGAGAGCTAGAATATTATGTGATAAATGATGATCCCCAGACGATTGATGAATTGGGCACAACATTCAAACACATCAGTCTATTTATACCATCTCATTCAGAATTAGCTCATCTGTTTCAAGTCATAGAATCCTTTGGAACAGTCAGAGAACACGATTTGGAAGCATATAAAAGAGACAAGGATTTCAAAATCAAGTTTGATTTGATGGATTCAAGCACTCAATTCCTGGGAAGATTAGAAAACATCAGGCTCTATTTGCAACACAAATTTAATCCAAACCAATGGATCAGGCCCATCTTTGATCAACCACACTGTAATCAAATTCGCTCAGATATCGGCCCACTGGAAGAACTCGAATTGATTGCCAAGTATCTCAAGATCATTCAAGCCGAACATCAGCAAACAACTCATGACATCTTCAGCTTCAATCCTCTCAATTTCAGTGTGTATTGTCAACATGAAATCATTCAAAAAAGACTCGATTATCTCCATTCCATGTTGATTGATTTGGCCTCAAATTTCTGAGAATTTGGCTCTAGGAAAACAATCCTCACATCACAAAATTTTACAACACATCAAACATTAATTTCGACCCTTTGTATCTTGTTGAGATGACCAGCTTTACACTGTACCACTACATTTGAGCTATCATAATGATGTCTGAGGTTAAGAGAGTATAAGGAAACACACATTTTTTAATTCAACAAATGATAAAAACTGGATGACTTTGTCTGTCATAAAGTCCATAGAAAAGTTGACAAGAAATGTATAGAGTATCTCTCATCTTATAGTTTTGGTGGGTGAAGTCAAATTGACTCAACATTGGTAATGACACAATTAAACTAAACAAAAAAAAGTAAGAATACAAAGTTAGGAGAGAATAATGAAAGAAGAGTAAAGCCTTCCAAATAACTCCATTTTCAGTTGTTGACAAACAAAGGACAAGAGATAATGAGACAAGCTTGAGAATCAATTGATTTCCGGGATCTTCGCCCAATAACCACCACGAAAGAGTTCTTGCAGCGGATCCACCGCAGGACGAGAGGCCGGATCATCGGCAAGGTTCATCTGCTGGTCCTGGTTTGCAGTTTGCCCATCCACAGCAGGAGGAGGGGAAGACTGATCGGCAGCAATGAGCTTATCGATGCTAGCAGGGTCAAGTTTCCAGCATCTCCATGTCAGGAATGACTGGGTGTTGTCCCGGTTGATCTGGACTTGCTTCGTCGTTGGTCTTGATGCACTGGGTGGTTGGTATGGGTGAGGGGGATGGAGCTGCGTCGGTCTGGGATTAGCTGTAGCTGTATTTCCTGCTCTGGATTGTACACTGATTTCTGTCTTGAAAAAATCCTTATAACTTGATAATAGCGACTATTGCATACGATTATTTGATGTATGAGAATCGAAAGAGACGACTTGGGTTATTGAAGTTTATTATAATGGAATTGGATGAGAAAAACTTACACAAATGAGCCAGAGATTGGACGAGGTTGGGTCGCGATCCGATTGGGCATGTTGGTTGATCCAGTGATTGATACATCTGTTAATCGACCGAATCAAGCCGAACGACGATCGTTGAAAAGTAGTTGTCTGGATGATGACACAAAATAAAGACCAGAGGTTTTTTTTTTTTTTTTAAAAAAAAAAAAGTGAGTTTTTTCTTGAATCTCAATTTCATCCAAAATGAACGTAACAAAGAAACTCAACCGGAGATTCTGTGAGGCCGAAACAGAAGACTCTTTCGACGTGTTGAGGGGAACGAGGTTTGAAGACGAGGAAGGCTCTCATGACGTCCTTGACCAAGATCTGATTGTGAGATACGAAGACGAGATGAGCGGAGAGAGGGTCTAGACGGTTGATTCTCTGGATACAATCCTGCAAGTTGATAACAGGGACAGAAGGTTTAGTCGGGAAGGAGGAAGCCCGACGCTTGAGGAGTATCAATTTCTTCCGCTTGAGTAGTTCGGCTTGGATGATATCCTGGTGGATGGTCGGCTCGGTCGTCTTGACTCTCTTCGACGATAGTGATGATCTGGACTTGAATTTCTGGATGGCTTCCTGTTTGAACTTTTGGTTGATCAGATAGGTCTCATGGAACGCCTTCGCCTTCTCTTCAGGGGTCAGACTATTATTGATATGTGTTTTCGCCCGAAGGTATTTCATCGCCTCTGTTTGCAAATTATCACGCGCATCCAATTGAAAAACACGCGTCAACAAATAAAGATTTCATCCACCAGATCAGCTGATCGATAAACTCACCTTCGGAGTTGGAAGCCTGTTGGCGTAGGGTCTTGATCTGATTGATGAGTTCTTGTGAGTCTGATTTCCAGTTGTCTTTGACCTCCTTGAGTTGCTCAGTGGATGTGCTTGGTTGATTATGGTTTGGCTCGCAGGCTTGGATTGGTTTCTGTAAGTTGCTGATAAGACTGGGTAGTGATTGGTATCTGATGGTTGAGATGGATTGGAGGAGTGATTGTAGATTGTTGATATGGTTTTCCAGTTTTGCGATCGATCCTGGGTTCTCCATCTTTCTCGAGTCGTGGTGGTTCAGGTTGAGTGCCAACTTCCAAGTACCAAGGGGCTGTGAGGGCAGGCTGAGCAGTGAGCACTCAGGACTGCGTGACAGGCAGCATGTCACATGCATGGCGCGAGCATATCACACCTCAACTTGGTGCACCGGCGGTCCAGCACGGCCACGCCACGACGCCGGTACAGAAATATACCACCGGCACGGGTCAGCACGGGTCACTTTTCCGCTCTGCGCAGGGCTATAATTTTGCCTTGGTACAAATCAACAGCGAGGAGCCCATGTGGCTCGAAAGCGGTGTCCACTTCTGCCGAAAGTCATGACGGGTGACTGTGGTGACATCTCCCTGTTGGAGAATGAGCTCGAGAGGAATGATGAAGTGAAAATCAGATCTGTAAGCTATCAATGTATCTACACGGTCTATGGCATGTGTCCCAGTCGAGACTATGCAGGACCATGCCACAACACTCCCCGTGTATCTTTCGACTTCTTCATGCAAGTTTCACAGCGAAAATCCTAAATCTCATTCCAAAAATACTGCTGGGATTTAACATCGGCTTGATGACGTAGCCAACAAGGGGAAATACTTCTCTGATGGGTCTCGCTGTTGTCTTTGCCACTTGACACTACACGCTAATCCAACTTAGTTTTGAATTTTACAATGAGACTTGGAATGAGCTTCCAACAAGTTTTAGCACATCTGAAGAAAGACAAAGTGTTTTAATGTCGTTGAGCTTAATGTCAGGCGCAGTCTCGCAGAGGGCTTTGGGATCAAGCGTGCTAGGTTCCTTGATCTCTTTCCTTACATCGCGCGAACTCTTGTAAACTTCGATCAAAAAATTTCTGGATTCCCCCCCCCCCCCCCCCCCCTCCCTTTTGCTCCATATTGGCGATCAGTTCCACCAACTTCGCATCTTCTCAATCCCAAACAGTGCACTATTATCTTGTAAATCTCTCGTGCAAACACGAAAGAAAGAAAAGAAAAGAAAAGGGGGAAAGAAAGAAGAAGAAAGGAAAAAGGAAGAGAGAGAAAAGGAAAAAAAAAAAATGAAGGAATCGAACAAGTGGATGAAATCGACAAGTGAAAAGAAGATATCCCTCTAGGGTCGAAGAACACCAGCCCCTAGCCCTGCAATAATGAGCCATCCCACCAAGAGATGAATGTCAGAAGAGTACCGAGGGACTGCCAGACCTCGTGCTACTTCCTGTACATGATCACTATGTACCACCGTTTGGCCAATAAGCGTGACATCTGTATGGTCTTCTGTAGACACTATGTTGGCTTTATGGGTTGTTTTCGTCAATCCTTGGGGACCATTTGATTCAACCCTTGGGGGTGTCTCCCGGTGCTGTTTGGTTGGCTGGCCTGTCGAGCATCTGATGGCCCCAAACGGTCTGGCGATAATTGATATAAGACCAGTCCAAGAGAAGGGTTTGATGCTGTTTGATCCTCCAACTCCAGTAATTACAGGCGTACCGGTTCAAGTTCACATAAAAAAATTTTCACGTACCCTCAAGGCAGCTGCGACACCGGAGGGAATCATAACTCAACCTCACCATCGACCCATCAGCCTTACAATGATACCGAAGACCATCCTCTTCGTCATTTTCATGGCCATCACCTCAGTGGCTACTGGCACTTATGTCGTCTGTGCCAACGAGAGTTGTGATAACACCAACGCTTCTCAGATGTATTCACACCCATACCCCAAGGAGGCGAAGTGTGGGGAGCCCTTAGGAAATGAGGAATGTCAAGAGATTCGCCTCAAAACATATTACTTGTGTGGGAAATGCGGGAGCACAACCGTCAAGAACAGAGTCATTCATCGCGGCGATTCAGCACCATGTCCTCATAAAGGCAAAGCCCTATTCTCAAGACCAGGCGACCCGCCGCCACCTGGACCCGCATCTCACTCTGGAGCAACATCATCTGTCCAGGCCTCCTCCTCAGAAGGTGGTTTGCCCTACGAAATAATCGATGGTCGCAAGTTTTACAAATTCGTTTGAGGGTCGACCACAAACCCATCAGCCTAAAGCCGCGACGCATTATCTTTATTTTGGACTTAAAAGGAAGTCCACTCACTTATATGAAGATCATTAGATGAAAGACTAAGAGATCCTTGCTACTACAAGTCTTTTCCGATGGAATTGTCGATCCAAATTTTTACACTACAATTGTAATGCACACTTTTGATACAGAGTTGCTAGGGAATCAGGCCAGGTTAGAGATAGACATACAGCTTACTGTGTTTTGTAGAGCCTTCTTGTGAGATATCTGTCTTGTTGATTATTTTTTTACATTGACAAGAGAGGGAATTATGATTTCTTAAGGAGATACCTACAGAAATGAATTGTAAACCATCTTGAATTACGATCATATTGTGTTTTCATGAATGGTTGGAGCCTCTGATCTTTTCAAAATTCTTTTGCTCCTCAAAATATCAATTTATATGTGATAAACTTTACACTTTCGTTTTTGGATTTCCCAGTTTTTGACAACCAACCTCGAAAATCTTGATCATTTGCTTGCTCAAGCTCAAGATTGATGACCTCATCTAGAACTAATTTGCTGCAAATTCCAGGAGAGATCATCAACATTTTTAACAGTGGCTGAATTTTGGGTCTGTAACATGTGGCAAATCCAATCTTGACCATGAAGATTGCATCAACTTTGGGGCTTGACTGCGGGTGACATGTAGGTCAGATCTGGTCCGATTCCTTTTTGGCCAGCCCCAATTCAAAGTGTATATGCAGTGAAGTGCATACATTGTTGGACAAACATCAAAAACAAAAAAGTTGGAGGCTCCAACCATTCATGAAAACACAATATGATCGTAATTCAAGATGGTTTACAATTCATTTCTGTAGGTATCTCCTTAAGAAATCATACAGTGACCCACACCTCTACTTAACCACCCCAAACTTGAAAAAAAACAGTTGAACTTTGGGTGTTGTTTTTGATTGTGCACTAGACCGTACCAGAAGCATGTAAGTTTGTTTTCTGAGCACTACAAAGACAGTAGAGCCCAAAGAAACACAAAAAACAATGTTGTGGACAGCTCAAAAAGCAAAGTTTGGAATTTTCAAACACAAAATTTGAAAAAATAACAGTAACAGTAGTGTATTGATACCACTGTCACCCATGCAAGGCACCCTGCTCCATCATCCACCACATGGGACTACTGATCAAGTTTGTTGGTGCCAAGGGATGACCATTTAGGCTAGTGGGGTGTGAGGAAAGACTATGTGACAGGTGACATGTGACACCTCAAAACCTTACTTCAACTTTTCCATTTCTGCTGCAAGTCATAACAACAGTCATCCTCCTGTGTGTATGTACCGTTCAACTTCTCACACAAGTTTCACTGGGAAAGCCCTAAATCTTATTTCAAAAGGCTGGCATGAATGAGCTGCATTTTATGATGTGTCCAAAAAGGGAAAATTATCCTGAGACAGGGTCCCATCCTTTTTCTTTGTCACCTTGACAGTCTGATCCCAATAAGTTTGACATTTACAATGAGACTCCAACAGGTTTTAGGTTTACTACTAGTGACTCTATTCACTTTCCAAGAAGTCCACTGCACTTCATTATACTCATTACTTGGCTTAAAAGATAGCTCAACTCAGCCACTGATCAAAAAAGGTATGCTGCATCTACACTTCTCTTAAAATTATGAAAACTCACATAAATTTATAACCTCTTCAAAAAGGAGAAAAAGTCAAACACTTTTCTACAATACCACAGCTTCACAAATGGCTTGGAATAACAGACAGCTCAACTTATGAAACCTTGACTAAAAAGGGTATGTTTTAACTTTGATGAACATGTGTATATTGGAATTCAAAAAGATACAATTTGGATAAATGTGATATATGACAGGAAACAAAGACAACATTCTCTCAGTAGATCACACACTTGAAAACACAGATTATTTTTCCCTCTTGGAAGAACCAGAAATCAAACATCTTTCTATAGGTATCCCTCAGCATGATCCATGGCTTCCTCAAGTAGAAATTTCAACTGAACCTCTTCTTGAAAAGGTATCTTCAATTTTATTTTTCAGACTCTAAACCAAATATAAAATGAACCTACTAACACTTTTGAAAATAAAATTGCGGGAACCAAAGAAAGAAAAATGGCTCTCAGTGTCTGAACTACTGAGAAGCTCAAGCTACTTTCCTACTTTGGAAGAACAAAATCTAGTTAAGAGAAAACTCTCTCATATACCCCAGCTTCAATCTAAAGATACAATATTGGACAAAAAGGGTCAGCATTATTCATACATAAAATTTATGAATATAGATTCCAAAAAAAATTGAATCATATATAAATGCCTTTTCTTTGAAACTCAGTCAAATTGATGGGAGAAATCCCAACATATGAGGAAAGAGAAAGTATGTCAAACTTTTTCAAATTCATTTCCTAAGCTTTGATGGTGTCTTGTGTTGTTGACAATTAAATTCTGTATATTTTGAACAGATTTGATGCAGGAAGATTTCAAGTCTTTGAGAGAATCTTGTTTGAGATTGCAATCATCCCCCAAAAAGTCATATGGTGGATATCTGAACCCATATGAGTATTCTGAACTATTTAATCACAAGTACAGACATAAGCCAATCTACCAACATTTGAATGAATTGAATCAAATTCACAACTTAATGGAGCAAAGATTACCTTCTTTGAATGCAAAAGGAAGAATGTATGTCACAAATGTTCCAGATAATGAAAAGAATTTTATTTTAAAAAAAGCTCAAATCATATTTAACATTTTTTATTACAAAAATAGTGAATTACTACCAATTGGAGAATATGCAAAGCCAGATGAAGAGATGGGAATTACATGTAGGAAGATAATTGAAATGCTTCTTATTCTGTTATGCAAGATAGAGCCCAGAATTTCATTTGAAGTTGACTTTCATTCATTGAATGTGCAAAGGCTTATCTGTGAAACCATCTACTATTTCAACAAACATGATCTGATATCTCCAGAAAGGCTTGGCCCTTTACTCACCACAAGAGCTGCCTCTCAAGCTTTCTCAAGACACATCATTTGGTCTTTCAATCATCATCAGATTGGTTCAAAGTACTGGATCCCTCTGAGTGGCACAAATCTTATCAACAGCTGGTTCCACTTCTCTTGTGGGAACATGTTCAAAGGTATGCATCAGTAAAAAAAAACATCCAGATTGGATACTGGAGTCCAGGCTGATTTTTTTGGCCATTTTCCTTCAAACTTCCTTCTTGGGATAGATTTCAAATCAATTGAGACCAAAAGTTTCTTGTATCAATTCAACAAAACACTATTAGAGTATTATCAATATTATCCAGAGGAACAGAAAAATCCAGATTTAAAGGATGAACTGGGAAGATTCCAAAGAATATTATTCAGTCAGGCACCATTAAAATACCATTCAAGAGAATTTCAAGAGCTGGAATACTATGTTATGGATGATGATTGCAAGACCATCAACAAGTTGGTTTCAATGTTCAAAAACATGAATATGTTTAGGCCACACCAGGCAGAATTAACTCATCTATTCCAAGTCCTAGAATTATTTGGGACAGTCAGAGAATATGATTTAGAAGCATTCAAGAAAGAGGAGGAGTTTAAAAAAAAGTTTGAGTTGATGGCTATAAGTACTGAATTCCTTGGAAGACTAGAAAACATTAGGATCTATTTACAAAATAAATTCAATCAAAGTCTGCATCAACATCAATGGATAAGGTCCATCTTTGATCAACCAAACTGTTGTGAAGTTGACACAGATATCAGCCCACTTGAAGAGCTAGAATTGATTGCCAAATATCTCAAAATCATTGAAGCTGAACATCATCAAAAATTCAGTGAGATCAGCAGTTTTAATCCACTAAGCATGTATTGTCAACGCGAAATCATTCAAAAAAGGATCAGATATCTTCAATCATCTTTGACTGATTTGGCCTCAAATTTGTGAAAGTTGGCTCAACAAAAAAAACCTGCTAAAATATAGTAAGATTTAGAATGTGCCAAATATTGGTTTCACTGCTTTAGGAAATCATTCAGTCTAGGGGGTTTATATTGCTTGTTTATTTCTAGCTATTTTCTTCATCCTTATGTATTGGATGACTTGCCATCAGATCTGAAACCCTCACAGAATTCGATTTACACCCCTTAAATCTTGATTTTCTTGAGGAAACAATTGTTTTCAGAAGCCTTACATTGATTGCTCTCATTTGAGCTGGTTGTTCTGTTGTTTAAGGTGTTAATTTGGGATTTGTAGGGGGCTTGTCAAGGCCTCTAAATTGTGATGGGAAGTCCTCCATTATATTTTTCTTTCTTTTCTGACCAATTTCTTTACATTATCTCTTCTTGACTTTACTGTATCTTGTTGGAATCATCCAACTTACTATGATTTTTCCAGTAAAAACATATACTTTCAGCTCTGATTATTTGTTATCCTCACACCTTTCAGTTTTTTTTTTTTTTGGAAGATTGACTCATCTCCTGAATAATGAATGATGTTGATCAATGCAAAAGGTAGAAACAAGTTGGCATAAACTGGAGGACTTCCTGTCGTCCAAATCTGTTAATTTAGAAGGACATCCTCAACATTATTTGCTGACAAAAATCGATCAAGATCAAGTTTTCACCAGCCAATAGAGCTTAGGACCCCCTTCTAGATCAAACGATTTAGGCAACGGGAAGTCCTTCACTAACATCAGCATCTTCCATCAGTTCACCACTGGAGGACTTCCTGTCGGATCTGGGACCCTTGCAGAAGTCAATCTAGACCCAAAAATTCTTGGTTCTTGCAGAGAAATTTGAATTTTGAGGCTCTAAACCGGCTCTGGGAGACCCGCAGATGTTGACAGGAATTCCTCCACTGTGTCTGACACCAGAAACCTCAAATACCCAATATCCCATATGATGAAAAGTTTAGTATACCCCAGCATGATCAAGATTGTATCAGATTGTATCAGTATCTAGTGGGTATGGAGGTTTCTAATTCAAGATATGTAGACCCATGGTCAAATGGATTCTTATATCAACAAATCTCCCGTCAGTTCATGAACTGTGAGGGATACTTTGGTTCAGGCATCCTATCCACTGAATACCCAGCATGATTTCACATGATAAGCTGAGTGCAACCTCTTCCTTGAAAGAGGAGAATGCCCTTCCTGATAAGATAGGGAGACAAAACCCAGATGCAAGTGGATATTCATTTGGAACCAATGTCGCTGGGAGTTGCTGAACTGGATGCTAGATCAGCAGGAAGAAGTGTGGATGGGCCCTTCGATCTCAGAGGTTGTGAATTCCAGTGTGAGGTGTAAGGTGTGACGGTGTGTGGGTGATACATAAAGGGGTTGAGGATCGAATGGATATGGTTTTTCAGCTGTCAGGTGGCAAACCAGACAACAGTCTCGGTTCTCTCCGCACCGCATCTGCCTTGACAGGAAAAGGGTCTTTTGAAAGGAAAGGTAAAAAGAAGGTGTGCCGCTGAGACTCGATCGGATCCTTTTTGTTTGAGAACTTTAAGCCTTGCGCTTTATCAGTGGGAAATGGTTGAAGCGGGGAGACATGACGCGGAGCATTTATTTGTGTTGAAGGTTGCCAGGAGGGTCGATGGGCTGATCGGTTAAAAGAGAGAGTGTTGTACTGCTTAACTCTGTCTTGGTTGCTGCTGTCCTTGGAAAAACTGGTTTGATCGAGCAATCAAGGAATAGAGGCGGTTGCTGTGTTTGATTGAACAAGCTTTCCTAAGCCACCCTTCCTTCAATTCCTTCTCCTTTGAGCGAGTTGCAGTGTACAACTCCACACTCACAGTATGTAAATATGTAAGCCAGGGAACTCTCCTGCCCTCCCCTTCCCCTTCCGCCCCCCCCGGTTGTCCCTTTAATTCTCTCTCAGAGTCTCACTTGACCACCACCGACCACCACCTTCCCATTCCCTGCTCAATAAATACCAAATCAATCCTCCCCTCGGTCGCTTTCCTTCCTGCGCTAATTTCGCCTCGGTCTCCCTACAGACTCAGAGCGATTCCGAGTCCAATCAAATCTACCCGCCCATCATCATCGTTGATTGATTTGCTTATTACGATCGTTTTAATAAAAAAGAAAATCTTACAAAGCACACCAAAAAAAAAAAACCAAAGTCACTCATTACCATCCTATAACTCACCACCCTCCCAACCACACACCCACACCCACACCCACACACACAAACAACCTATATCCTCCTCCCCCCAACCATGGCCCTCCATAGCCTACTCTCCACCCTCCTCCTCTCACTCTCACTATCCAAACTCATCTCCACTCAGGCCATCCGGACCGGCAAGACCCCCAACACCTTCGAGGTCGTCGGTCACTCCGGCGCCTCCGCACAGATGATGTTCATCGGCACGCCCACAAAGACCTATGTGGTCGACAAGGTCAGTGTGCTCATTCTTACAATCATCAAATCAAGAGGATGGATGGCTGATAATCCCCACCTATGATAAACAGGTCGAAAACAACGAGTTGAAACTCAATGGCCTGCGTGAGTACATACTTGAAAACAATCGTCTCTCCCCTCTGGCCGGAACTGACGATCTGTGGTAATACACACATCTGAACAGCCGTTTGGGGAACATCCTATGATACCGAATCAAACACGGCCACTCCCATGCCGATCAACAGTAATACTGTGAGCTATGACCCTTGACCACTAAAATTAATTAACAGAAAAAATTATTATTAGATGCTGAGAGCAAAAAAAATGTCAATCTGTCGATCAGTTCTGTGCAGGTGGCAACGTACTTGGGAATGGTACTTGGTTCGTCATTCTTCTCTATCCTTGAGAATTAATTGAGCGTAATAATTCTTGTCAGATCAGCTGATTGTCTTCAATTCTTCGTTCTTGCAGGCTAAATGTCGGTGGAAAGTAAGATAGCACCATCCCCAACCTCTCGATTGGCATTGGCCCGATTCAATCTCGTCTTGAAAAAAAAAAGATCCAGCTTGGATTAACTTTCACCTTTTCGATTTAGCTTGGCAGTCTCGTATGGTGGTTTGAATGTAGCCAATAATTGTATGTCAAGTTTTTCGATCCTTTTCGACTAATCAGACCCTCAACAATTGACACGTGTGTTTCCTTCAACTTTTTTTTTATTTTCATTTTCTTAGTCGATCCTTACAAAAATAAGGACGGTGGCAAATCCATGCGACTCCTCAACCCTTGTAACGACAACTCTTGCCAGTGGGCCGAATCTACTCCCATGACAACAAGAAGATGGTCAGAAACATCCTTCGATTTTTCTTCTCACAGTTAAAAAAAATTAAATACTATCAAGAAAAAAACACAACATATAACTGACGCGATATGAAATCATAAAGGTACCCCACCCTGGAAACTCTTGAAGACGGCTCAATCATCATCATTGGAGGTGACGATTGGGGAGGATACGTAAATGACAAGGGACAAAACAATCCCACTTATGAATTTTTCCCTTCGAAGGGTAACGTCACCGGACTCAATCTTCTTGCTATATCTCTCCCAGCCAATCTTTACCCGTAAGTCATCGCAAGTTGTGCAAACTTGACTCAATTGGCTGGACTCACTGATTGCGATGACCCCTCTCCAGATTGACTTGGTTGCTACCATCCGGCAAGTGAGTTAACAAGGAATAAAACCTTTCCTCATTCTATTCAACGAGACACTAATTCATGGCTGGTATAGTCTTTTCATCAACTCGAACTGGAACAATGCAATCTTGGAGTAAGTTTGACGCGCCTAATCCTACCTCCTTTAACTTTCATCAACTTATGACTGATTTGATTCAACAGCTACAAAACAAACACCGAATTCCAGTACGTGCTTCGATCGAAATCATTGCCAGGAGTCTTGAAGTGGTCTTAATTTCTTTTTTCCTCTCTGCAGAATCCCCAATGTCCCTCATGCTGTTCGCACTTACCCCGGCTCGGCTGCCAACGCTATGTTACCATTGACTCCCGCTAACAACTACACTGCTTCGGTGCGTTTTTTCTTCTTGACCTTCACCCCACATTTAGTCTCCTGACTTTCTTGTTATCTCTCCGACTTAGCTTTTATTCTGTGGTGGAACAAATCTGCAACCCGATCAATGGAAGTTGGATTGTAAGTCAACTTGTATCTACTGGTCTCTTTCACCGGCCTAAAACTCACACCATACTTGCACCTCTTTCAGGGAATATTGCTGCTTACCCTGCAGATGCAACATGCGTCAGAATCACTCCTGATGTTGATACTAATTGGCGTGATGATGACTCCATGCCAGAGGGTCGCTCCATGGGCAATTTCATCTTTCTTCCCGACGGTCGCTTGTTCTTACTGAACGGTATTGCTAAAGGTACAGCTGGTTATGGTAACACCAGTTGGGCTCTTGGACAAAGTTTTGGAGACGGTCCTATGTGAGATTTTTCACTTTCCTAATGGCGTATTATTTGATACTAACTGTTGTTTGAGTTGCATTTAGATATGAGCCAGCTTACTTTGATCCCAACGCACCTCAGGGATCCAGATGGTCGAGACCCTCTGATTTGAAGCCAAGCACAGTGGCCCGGATGTACCACAGTGTGGCTCGTAAGCCCAGCTTCTCTCTTCATTGACATTCCGATGGTCTTGACTGATCGCCGTTATCTCTAGTTCTGTTGCCCGATGGATCTATCCAGTCCTCAGGATCGAACCCTAATGGTAAGTTTGCGTTCAAATACCTTCTTCCTGGAATTAGAACCCCGCAAAACACGCGTCGAGTTAGTTTCTGAGTTTTGATTTCATGTTTGCAGCTGATTATGTCGCTCCTGGAACCCCGGGATATCCGGTAAGAACCGTAATCTTGAGAGTATATTCCAAATCGGCTCATCATTTTCTCATTTGTATTGCCCTTTTAGTACTTCACCGAATACAAAGTCGAGCGATTCTATCCCGATTACTATAACAAACCTCGACCCAAACCGACAGGTCTTCCCACCACAATTAGCTATGGCGGTAACTTCTTCGATCTGAAACTCCCTAAGGAAGATATCAGTGCAAACGATGCCCTCGAACAAACCAAAGTTGTCATCATTCGTCCTGGATTCTCCACGCATGCTATGTAAGTCAACATTGAGTAAGTAAATAGACTCCCATCAGATGTCTCACTTAGCATGAATCCTTTCTAGCAATATGGGTCAGCGCTATGTTCAATTAAGCTCGACATACGAGACAAACTCGGATGGATCGGCAACCTTACATGTTTCCCAGCTACCGCCCAACCCAGCCGTACTTGCACCAGGACCGGCATTTATCTACGTGGTGGTGAAGGGGGTGCCCTCGATTGGAGCTATGGTCATGGTCGGAAATGGACAGTTAGGAGCGCAACCAACGGCTGCTCAACCCACTCTCCCTGGAAAGACACCAGCGATCGTCCAGAAAACTGAAACAGCTGCTGAAATGGGCTCAGTTGCAGGTGGCAAAATTGCTGCTAAGAAGGGTGCCTCGACTCGCTCTGCCTCGATCTCGATCACGAATCTTCTAGCACTCGTTGGCCTGGCCACTCTCTTCAACTGGCTCCATTGATTTAAGAAGTACACAAAGCAAGCTGTAACATATATCGCCCATTGAAATCACTTGAAACCTTTCGATGTACTACAGGGGGAAATGGACCTTTCTTATTCTCTCTTTTTTGATCCCCTCGATCCCTTTTTTTTTCTCTTTTCACCAATCAATCAATCATTTAGAAAACTTGACAAAAAATAAAAAGAATCATTACTAGATATATCAAGCATCATTCCACTTCTAATACTCATTCTGCCAATAGCTTCTAGTCTTTCTTCTTTCCATCAAACATGCTCCATTTAAATTCAAACACACATGCCACAAGTTAGCACTTCAAGGTACCCCCCACCTTCCAACCCAGTTTCACTTTTTTGATTTTAGTTCTGTTTCTGGTACCTGGTTAACTAATTCAAAATTGAAGCTTGATTTGTATAAATTTGTTTTGTTGGTTAGAGATACCTAATCATACACTCATTACATGGAATCTTTCATCTTTGCTCTTTCTTGTTCAACAATGAATATTGGCTTTTACCCTTGAATCAAAACATACAAGAAAATGAAGATCTCATTGGTTGGTCTTTGATTACTGCTCTCCCCCTTTCTTTTAATGGGTTGTCCTTTGTTTTACAATTTGGGATTATCTACGCTATCTTACAATTCTCAAGGCATTTACTTTTTTCTGTTTTTTTTTTTTTGACTTACTCATCTCAATTCTGTTTGGCTTTTGAGTTTTTTTTTAACCCTACTACCTCCCCACTCATTCATTCATTTTTTGAAATCATGCACATCTTAATATATATACACATGTTTGGTTTGTATGTGTTTGATATTTGGTGAATCATTCTTTTTTTCTAAACAAGAAAAAAAAAGTGTTTTCTGGAGGGGGACTTATTAGGGTAACTGGTTTGGGATGACACAAAGAGGGAGAGGTTGGCTGGGGGGGAGGGGGGGAGGGTGATTGGTTTGGGTTTGGGTGTAGTGATCAGGGCAAGAGACATCCTGCAAGCAACACAAGAAGGATTGATTTTGTTTGTTGGGCGTTCATTGCTTCTTTCATGAACCATATTGAGCAGGTGAAGTTGAATCCCAAATGTTTTTTTTTTTTCTTGTCATTGGTCCTTTTTCCCCTTTATATAGATATGTAGCACTGGGATAAGTTTGATGGAACTAGTGGCTGTATATGGCCAAGGCCAAGTGAAGACGGTAAAATACAGAAAGACAAATTAAATATGTATGAGCTTGAAATGGATCTTCCAAATCGGACAAAAGAAACTGGATGAACTTCCTGTCACGACTCACAATCTAGAGCCCACCCAGAATCCAATTTACACCCCCCCCCATTTTGGCCAAAAAAGATTATGTTTTTACAAGCCTTGTAGAAATATGTCTCATGTGAGATGGTTCAAATTATGATTGGGCTGTTAGGGCTTAAAAAGTGCTCCATTTGCACCTTTTTGTTGTTGTTATGTACAAGGACCGAGGATGTTGTTTCACTACTTTTCAAAATCTTACTCCCATCAATCTTATCATCAACTCAATTTTGTGTGGGTCAGCTAACTTCAGTATGCATATTTCATGACTGAGATTTCACAGTTTGTGTTCAATCAATCCGACCCCAAACTCTTCATTGTGCCGCCACAATGTGTCGCGATCTGATAATAGCATCAGTTGGTGGACCACCTTTCTCATTTTTATTCTCCCTAATTTGCTTCCTGTCGAAGTTCTCTTAAAGTGTAATGAAATCTGTGTACTACATAAGTTTCCCGAAAGAATTTTTTTTTCTCAAGAAAACCACCGACAAAGCCTAAAAGCACTTCCGTATAGTGTTTGCTGAATAAACTGTCTTGAGAAACAAACTCTTCAAGTTCAACTCCAGCTTATAAGCTAACTTGGAACAAGTCCCGCGCTTCTGCGGGCCTGGTGACCTGGGCTGGCTGGTGCCACTCGCGAAGCAAGCCTCCGAAGGAGGGACTTGTGCCAAAAACGAACACACGCGGGTGTCGCTATTGGCATGTTTTGGTGTAGCAATTTTTAGATCAGCCACCATGCATGTAGTTTTGGTTTTTTGGAAGGCAAAGTCAACATGGTCAAAGGTGACCATGTTGCCGATCTCTCATCAAATTTTCAGGGACATTTCCTGAAATCCGGATGAGTAAGATTTTTTTGAAAAATATGAAATACATAAAATAAATCAGAATTAAAGTTGAGCTGAAGCTATTACATAAGCAAAAAACACAAATTTGAGCGGATTCTTGGACATTTACAAAGTTTCCCTAGAATGTAGTTGTACATGTTTCTGGGTAATTTCTTGATGAAAATTTACTTTGGCATCTGGGATACATTGTGCCAGATTTTCCCTCTATGAAAGTTAAGAAAGCGATTTATTAGAATTTTCTGCACAAAAAACTCTCTCAAAACTGGAAAGCGACACGCGGGTGTGTTCGTTTTTGGCACAAGCCTCTCCCGCACTTCGTGCGTTCGACGGAGAGGCTGGGCAAGCTAGGCTTATAAGCAAAGCAGAGTGAAAATCCTGCCTGATGATGTGATGAACCCATCAGACAGAAGACACAACACTTGTGCTGACTTGTATCATCAATCACTAGCGGCGTTTGTCCTGAAGAAGCCGGCCAAATGAAATCCAGCTGGTTTGCCAGTGTGACATGCTTCCGTCAAACGATCGAAAAGGAATGCAGTGGGAAGGAATTGTATGAAATTAGCGTGACAAATGTGATTCTGTGGTGCAGATAGAATCTGATCCTCAAGTGAGGTGGAAAAAGGCTCGGATCTGACTGCAGATTCTGGAAAGGGTCCGACCTACCGATTACCCGCATCCGGTTGCTGCAACTACACGGTACAACCATCATACTGACTCTGTGCACCCGACAGATAGTCTGTCCGATCGGTCAGATGGTAAGTCGGTGAAGTAGCACATCATCCTCCTTACCTCAGAATGTTTCTTTTGTCGAAAGGTTGGACCGACATCGGTATTATTGTTGAATAAAGAGAGACCTCGCCTGCTCTTCGCTCAAGGTGGTCGACAGTCAATTATCTCTACCTGGAAATATGAAATCATGGATTTTCACAGGCTGAATGTCTGGCAACCATACTCCTCTCCGCCACAAACATCGATTTTGAGGGGTTTGGGCAAAAGCTGCCAGTTCTTTAGCAGATCACTGAGGGGTGTTGAGTGTTTCTAAGTTGTCCCGACTCCGGGCTCCGGGAACTGCAATGGCACGGTCACCGGAGACATAGTGATCAGACAGTTGTCAGATCTGGGCCTGTTCCTCTAGGTGACCGACAATCGCAATCTTTTGCCTCTGATCGAGCGGTGTTGACTGTCACTGGGTCGTCTCGACTCTCGACTCCGGCCCTCGTGAACGATGGTTCGGTCACCGGCAACATACATGCACTACCGAGAGTGATCACTCTCGGGTGCTATCAAGTCGACAGTTTTGCATCGCACCGGTTGGGCAATGCAGCGAAGGGCGATGCAATATTAACTGGTGATGTTCAATTGCATCGAGGTGACTGTCCTTCCGCTGATATCTCCCTGATTGGTCTCAGGTACATAACTGGTCTCTGCAGATATAAAAAGGGTCCGACAAACATCCAAATTTTTCCAAAACATTTCCTTGCCACAATCTACCAACTCAAATCCTCCCCAAGTCAAATTGCCAAAAATATCCAACCAGTATAAATATCGTTGACGATAAACCAACCCCAAATTTACCACTCAACAATGCAGCTGTCCACAAAATTCATTTCAGTTCTGATGGCAATCGTGCTCCAAGGCCCAGCCATTGAAGGCACAGGTAATGTCGATATGCAATCAGCACGTCCATGCCCAACCACGAATCCCCAGGCTATATGCCTCAAAGTAGGAAAGGTCAGAGGGGCCGGCGGTCAAGTTAAGAATGAGAATGTTTCATGTAGGTTTAAGCTGTAGAAACTTACAATAAGAAACTACTATCTCATTTTCCTTGCTTGACACTGCACCCTTGAACTTATATTGACCCTCATGGTCTGCTTACTTTTGCTGGCTGCTTACCCTGCTTTTATGATCACAGTGAGAAGTGGGGTCCCAGAGTATGGTAATCCTCGTAAGCCCAAGGAGGTCACTGGTTTTGACTGCAAGAAATATGCAGGGTCATCACTTGATAGTGAGACATTGTTGGCCAAGTGTTGCACCAATGACGTGGTATTGGTAGGTCTTCAAATTCTTGCCATTTATTTCAAATCCATCATCATTGACCACAACACAAGCTGACTTAGTTGGAACATAGGGCAATGACAATGACCACTTTAAAAAACCTGTCCCAAGCACTTTCAATGACAAAACTTGCATTGGTGCCAAGCCTACTTGATCATCCAGCTTCCCAATTGTCACACTAATCTCTCTTGATTTTGTGCCATGCTCAAAACGATTTTGTGGTTGTCAAACAATTGTGAGAAAGACAAAATCAATCCAATTTGTAAACATAAAGTCCTCAGCCTTTTCTCAACTTTTGTAAAATAAAAAACAAGCTTGGATTTCACCTACTGCTCTAACCAATTTTCTGCTCCAAATTCTGCTAGCTGCAGTCTTGCCCAAGGGACTTTTGTAAAATATATCCAGATGGATACAGATAGAAAATCAAAATATCTGTACTTTTCCTACAAAGCTAACATATTTCAATTCCCTCCGGGTGAGAGAGCTTGCAGTGTTTTGATGGAACAAGTGGGAAAATATCACCCCTTTCCCTCATACAGAGAGGCATGCCAGCATGAGATCACCTCTGGAGTTTCAGGGGCTCTGTCAGGATAGAATGAAAGGAGACAATTTTATTTAGATATTTCACATTTGTGAGCCCTCTGTCAGGATAGAATGAAAGGAGACAATTTTATTTAGATATTTCACATTTGTGAGCCTCAAACTAAGTTTTGCAAGAGAGTATTTTTTGAGCAGACCTGATTGAATTTAAGAAGGATTAAAAAGACAAATCAAGGAGGAGCTCTCAGCTGATCATCAGGACAGATTTTCTTTGGCTTTTCAACAATCTATTGGGGGAAACGTTTTTCAAATCAGGTTCAGAGCCCACTATTTTCTGTCACTCAAGAAACAAAATACTATTTGATCATAGCCTTAAAAGATGATACTCAAAATGCACATATGAATATTGAGCTTCAAATCAACATTCAAGAGTCAAGAACCATATAAAAAGAAACTCTACTGGTAGAAGGGATGTATTGGTAAATTTAAAACAAAGACAAATCATGCTGGACTCATGAGCATTTTTTATCAATATTTCAAATCTCTATTTTCATGATGTGAATTGGTCAAAAAAAGGCTGGTAAAACACCTTAGCTAGAGCCTAGAATAGATGCTGAAAGGATCAAAAATTCAATTCAGATGTTGTGATTATAACCCTGTGGGCAGGTTGACATTCCAACACTGTGTCAAATTACACATTTCATAAGCTGAAAAATATCAATAAGATGTCTTGTGCAACTGTACTAAAAAACTGGACACTTATATCTTTTCCAGAGCATTTTGTTTTGTTTTTTGATGCAAATTCAGTTTTGTTTCAGACTCATAAATATGTATGAAACAGGAATAGAGATCCTTCATCTTCCTAAACATTTACATCTTCCTGCACATAGTATATTGGTTCTTTCCAAAACATGTCTGGGTTGCCTGGGTATTGGGTGCTTGCAGGTACTTTTCAATTTTTGTTGCAAGTTTCCAATGTAAAGTCTGTAAGTGTTGGATATTCATTCTGAAACAGGACTTTTTTGCATACTTCAAATTCTGCTGCAATGGCTGGATGGCATGTAGGACTTTTGATAGGGTTTTTTCAATTGAGTTTCCCACCAATCATATACATGCATTATTTTTGAAGAGCTGATCTATCCTCCCAACTTGACCTTATCTGAGTATTATTCTCATCATTATTATTTGAGATGAGAGTGGAGTTGGGACACCAGAAAGCTTTAGCTTTTCTAGTTTCTTTATGCATCATTAAAGAAATTCAATGCATTCCATTTCACTCATGGCTTGGTATGAAAGGAAGCTCAAGTGCTCCTCTTATTGAAAAAAGTTAGTCCCATTGTTATGTTTTGTTTTCCTTGACCTAGTAGGAGTAAAAATACAACTTATCTCCAAGCTTTAGACCAAAAACAAACAGCTCAGGAACAACTTCCCATCATCTCCCAGATTCACTCATGGATTGGTGGAGTAGAAACTCAAGCTGGGTATTTGAGTCAACATAGTATGCTTTATTTTGCTTATGTTTTGGAGATAACCATGAAGACTTGGAGCTGAAATCAACTCTCCTGCCAATGTAACACATGGTGGCAACCAAAGATCATATTGGATCAATCGACCACACACTGGTAAGTTGTAAATTAATGAGAAATTTCCTAATATTTGAACAACCAAGGAGCTAACAGTAATCAATTTCCTTCTATTTTCAAACTTTGAATGTGTATTTCCAAGCCTGAATTTTTAACTGAACCTTTGCTTGACACTGTATGTTGTATATTTTTTAATTTTTTCCAAGGATTTTACTCAAATAACACTTGTCAGACTGAAATTCCTAAAAAACATGTCACATGATGCAAAACAAAAGACAGCAAAGAGGCTCTCTGTTGCTCTAATACTTGGAAAACCAAGCTACTCTCCAACCTTGGAAGAAACAAAATCAATTGAGAAACACATTTCCAGCATCCCTCAGCTCCAATATGCAGGGAAAATGAAAAGCAGAGGTAAGAAATGACCCAATGTGTTGAAAAGAATGAATAAATGACTCAACTGATATGCATTTTGATCAGTTGAAGTTGTGGAACCACTTCCAAAATTTGAGCAAAGACAGAGTATGTTTGAATGTGTTATTTCTACCTATTCAAATGGTGTTTGGTTGACAATTATTACAAATTTATATCAGTTTTGATGCAAGAAGATATGAAGTCTCTAAGAGACTCTTTAAAAAGACTTATAAGATGCCCCAAATCACCAGTGAATGGATATGTCAACCCTGGTGAATATCTGAACCTATTTAATCTCAACAGATATGATGTCGTCTATATAGAACTGGATGAAATACATAGATTGATGCAGAAGAAAATAGCTTCTTTGGATTTAAATGAGAACAAGTAGGTCAAGAATAATTCCCAATACAAAAAAAAATCCAAAGTAGCTGATGAAAACTCTTGAAATAGCAACCTGATATCGGCTCATGACTCTACAGGGCTCCATGAAGAGAGTGAAACAATCTGCACAGACATCATAAGGAAACTTGTTGTTCTATTATGTAGAACAGAAAGATTTATCATTTCTGAAGTTAAATTGAATCCGTTGAACTTTAGAAGGCTTGTCTGTGAAACCATCTATTACTTCAAGAAGCATCAGCTTATTGCTCCAGAGCAGCTCGGTCCCCTCCTCACAACCAGAGAAGCTTCACAAGCTTTCTCAATACACATCATACAATCATATATCAAATATTATGGTGATCCAAAGTATTGGCTTCCTCTGAATGGAAAAAACATCCTGAAAAGCTGGCATCAATTCTCTTGTGGGAATATTTTTGAAGGTAAGAATTATAACTCTCTGATTGAATATCAGAGGCCTGACTGAATATCTTTCTGAACTGAACTTGAATTTTGCAAATGAAATAGGGATCAATCCACTTGATAATCAAAGGTTTCTGTTTCACTTCAATAAAGCAGTCTTGGAATACTACCAATATTATCCTAGAGAACAATTGAATACAGATTTGAAGCCTCAGATGGATAAATTCAAATCCTCAATTTTTGCTGAATTTGAAGAAAAATATACAAAGCATTCAAGGGAATCTGAAGAGGGGCATTATGTTATGAATTACGATCCTAGTACGATGTACCAGTTGGTTTTATTTTTCAAGGATATTAATAGATTTGGATTACACCATTCAGAATTGGCGCATTTATTCCAAGTCATAGAAGCCTTTGACATCCATATTCTGAACGAATTTGAGGAAGATAAAGATTTCAGAACCAAGTTTGATATGATGTCTTTGAGTACTCAGTTTCTTTCCAAGTTAGAAAACATCCAGATTTATTTGAAAACAAGGCTTGACAAAGAACACATGGTCAAATCAATTTTCGATCAGCCCTCCATATCAATCGCTCTGATGGAAGAACTAGAAATACTTGCAAAGTATCTCAAAATAATCGAATCAGAATATCATCAAACAACTGGTGATATCTCCAGTTACAGTTTCATTTATGCTTATTGTCAGCATGGACTCATCAAGACCAGCATTGAATATGTCAAATCAATGATCCTTGAATTAGCTGACAAATTGTAGTGGGTTGTTTGAACAAAAACATTTTCCGCATTTATCAAATAATATAATTACATCTCAAAAACTTCATCACAAGCCAAATGTTTACTCAGCATTGGGACCATGATGTCTTTTGTTTCCATTCTATTTTCAGTGATCTGTTCAATTCTTTGCCTAATTTTCCTGCATACATCTTTGCTTATGTGACACTTTGATTGAATTTCTCAGTTTGTTCTTGTGGGAAATCAATTGTGATGACCAAATTGAGATCTATTTTGGTGGCTGGAGGTGATAAACCCCATCTGAAGAAAAAAAAGAGCAAGTGCTTCCCCATTCTAGGATCAAGTCCTCTTTGCAAACCCTATCTGCTGGTGAAAATCAATCAAGATGGAGTGTTAGTTTTGGACCAGTTCATAAGAGTTTGGATCCCCCCCCCCCCTATCTTCTATAACCCAAACCATCCATAAGCAACACCCAAACCATTGCAGGGGTTTTCAGCATATGATCTGCATGCCTGCTACACTGAAATACAATAGTACTTGCCACTGAATAAAAATTCCAGCTACAAAAAAGGTAGAATAAAAAAAAGGTATGCCTTGATCAGTTATCAATTACAGGTAATGAGCTGTGCTGTAGCAGCCAGCTAAATCGCAGCAATCTAGCCAGTTGACAAGACAGCTGAAGCTCGTTAATTGTCTGGGAACTTGAGTAGCCAGCAGCTGTGCTAATTTTTTATTTAGGGAATTTAGGGGGATAAGGAATTAGGCTTGGGGTGGACAGGTAATTAGAAGTCTCCGAAACATTACATAATCCAGCTTTCATGAGCTCTCCAATGGG